GTCAATCCAAACTCCCAGATCCCTTTCTGCCTGGCTGCTCTCCAGCCACTCTGTCCCCAGCCTGTAGCGCTGCAGGGGTTGTTGTGGCCAAAGTGCAGGACCCGGCACTTGGCCTTGTTGAACTTCATCCCACTGGAATCAGCCCAACTCTCCAGTCTGTCCAGGTCCCTCTGCAGAGCCCTCCTGCCTTCCAGCAGGTCGACACTCCCTCCCAACTTGGTGTCATCTGCAAATCTGCGTGATGGTGGACTCAATCTTCCATTCTAAATCAGTAAAGATATTAAACAGGACTGGGCCCAGCACTGATCCCTGGGGGACACCACTGGTGACCGGCCGCCAGCTGGATGCAGCCCCGTTCACCAGCACTCTCTGGGCCCAGCCCTCCAGCCAGTTCTTAACCCAGCACAGAGTGCCCCTGTCCAAGCCATGGGCTGCCAGCTTTTCCAGGAGTATATTATGGGAGACAGTGTCAAAGGCTTTGCTGAAGTCCAGACAGACACATCCACAGCCTTCCCCTCATCCACCAGATGGGTCATCTGATCATAAAAGGAGATCAGCTTGGTCAGATGGGACCTGCCCTTCCTAAACCCATGCTGGCTGGCTCTGATCCCTTGTCCATCCTGTAGGTGCTGTGTGATTGCACTCAGGATGATCTGCTCCATAACCTTACCAGGCACTGAGGTCAGGCTGACAGGCCTGGAGTTTCCTGGGTCCCCCTTCCAGCCCTTTTTGTAGATCGGTGTGACATTCACCAAATTCCAACCACCTGGGACCTCCCCAGAGAGCCAGGACTGTTGGTAAATGATGGAGAGCAGCTTGGCGAGCTCTTGTGCCAGCTCCCTCATCACCCTTGGATGGATTCCATCTGGTCCCATAGACAGGGGAGGATCCAAGTGGCTCAGCAGATTGCTCTTTCCTCCTTGATTACAGGGGGGCTATTCAGCTTCTTATCCCTGTCTACAAGCTCCAGAAGCCAGCTGTCCTCAGGACAACCTGTCTTACTGTTTTAAACTGAGGTAAAGAAGGTGTTAAATACCTCAACCTTTTCCTCATCTTTGATAACTAGGTTCCTGCCCATGTCCAATAAAGAATGGAGGTTTTCCTTGCCCCTCCTTTTGCTATTGATGTATCTATAGAAAGACTTTTTGTTATCCTTAACAGAAGTGGCAAGATTGAGTTCAAAGTTTGCCTTTGTCTCTCTGATTTTCTTTCTACAAGACCTAACTATATTCCTAAACTCTTCCTGAGTAGCCAGATGTTTTAGTGCCTAAGGCATTACAGGGTAGCACTTGAGCATCCTGCTATACTACCAGTAATGCCAAGAATTAAATTAAATTAAATCTCAAGGTTTCAGCTGTAATGAAGAAGTGCATGTTTCTTCTCAGAAAATAATCACAAAAAGTATTGTGCAAGACTGGTTGTGTTTTGCTCTAAGCTACCTTCTGACTTTCATACAGCCTCAGAGGCAGGCTGCAGTTGCCAGAAGCCCCAAGGGATCCATATCAAATAGTAAATCCAAGGCAGTGAAGCTATTTTGTCTCAATCACATCCTTGTCTAAAGGGGTATAGAAGATGTATAGGTGTACATAGGGTCTTAAGAGCAAATGTGTTTTCCCTGGCTTCCAGGCATTTTGTTCTGCTGCTGAGGTTCAAATACCCACTAAACGGTCAAATTGGAGCCTTAGAAAGAAAGGCCAGTTGAAAGAGGACAGATATGAAATTATACAGTTTACAAAGTCCCTTTCAAAGAAGGTTTGATTACATCAATAAAGAAGGGTCAATAAAGAGATCATGCAAATAGCCTGTTGAATAACTTCTTAATTACAGGTGGAGGTATCCATAAGAAGCTGTGCTACAAAGCAGATGTTTGGCTTGAATGGAAATATTTTCACATCAGTTCACCAAGACAGTTGCTAAAAAAACCCCCACTATTACTGTGGCATGAAGTTTGCATGTGGATCCTTAAATGCAATACATGACAACTTACTCTGTTTAGTAGAAACAATGCCAAAAGCATGCAGTGCCACTGACAGGGTAACACTGCAGCACTTTATATTCATATTTTCTTGGGAAAAGTATTTAGAAAAAGCTGCAGGATTCTAATTAAACTTATTCACTTGACTATGCATGCCTACAATAACAAGATTATATACTAATATGAACATGACCCCAATACATACAGGGTTGGTCAGTTATACACACTGGGGGCTCCAGCACTTCCTCCAGCAGGAAACTCTGCTGGAGAGAGGATACTTAAAGCAAAGAGATTTCTCAAGTGTGATGGTAATGGAACATAAGTGTTTTACTGATAGGGACTGTGCCTAAATGTGTCACTGATTTAAATCCGTAGACTTTTCATTCCATGTTTACACTTAACATTTCCCTCAGTACTTTGCTATTACATAAATATATCTGTGACGATTATCTCGCCTGCACCTGGATGCAACCCAGACATTCATTAAATAACCATTACAAGATTGGTAGTACTGTTCCTATTTTACAGATACCTGCAGGATTGTTCTCAGCAGCGTACGAGCTGTAACAGCTGGGAGTCTGTGACGGGACATGGTTTGTGATTAACTCCAGAGGCATCCCACAGCACAAAAAGCTTTCGTTGCTTAAGGTTGCTCACTGACTCATATTCAGGTCAAGCTTAAATCAGTCACCAAGAGATGAATGCAGCTTTAAAATTTAGGAAGCCTCAAAGTGAAACCTAGGTCTTTCCAGAGTGCCTTTTCATTTCTCCAAAGTATGAATTTTTCTGAATGAAGAGTACAGGTTAGTATCCAAGGATTTCAACAGCTATAAAATGTAATGCTAAATTCAAAATATTTTAACATCTTTTGGAATACAGGCTGTGTTTTGTCCAGCAGAGGGAGATCAGAGTTTCAGAGAAATGTAATACAAACATTAGGCATAAGAAGGAAAAAAAATTTCACTCAAATGTATCAGATATAGATTTTAATACAGAGTTTAATTCATAAGACATAGTATCCTATATTATCTAGACAGGTAAATATCTGATGAAAATCAGACTTAAAATCATATCATAGGGCTTGATACTGATGTAGGATTTGTAACCTTCATCCCATTTCAAGCCTGATCCTGTGCAAATAACAAAACACAGCCAAGCTAAAATCAAATCAAATAATAAAATAAAATTAAATAAACTCAGTGTTTTTTACATGAGGAAATACCTGCCAGCACTTTGCACTCAGGAAAAGGTCAATGGAAACCTGGAGGAAGCTCTCTGCAGAGAGTGCCTGGTCTTTTTTTAAAGTAGCCCTGTAAATCATAATCCCAGACCAGAAATTCAGTCCCTAGGCCAGTGAGCTTAATTCTTGTCTCCCTGTGGATTTTGACCTCACTGTAGCTTATCTGGCTGAGTTCACTGTTCAAAGGCTGCTGAGATTCACAGCTGCAATAAAAGAGTCACTCAATAAGCAGCTCTTGGGTTTTCTTTGTTTTTACTCACCAGCTGATACGCTTTGGGGATTACTGCGTTGCCAGCATGGCTGCGTAACTGAAAGGGTGGTGAATAACATTACAAACCAGCAAATGAACTGCCAGGTGCAGGTATGAGAAGAATAACAGAACCAGCTCAGGTTTAATAGAGAGAGGAAAATAGCAAATCTTCCCATGACAGAACTTGAAAGAAGAAATATTAAACTTTAACCTTGTGTTGTCATCCTTCAGAACAAAAACCTGGTGTCAGAGCCAGAAGAAGATCAAGTGGTTGACCAAAGACCAAATGCATATTTCATACCACAGGACACCTTCTCAGCAGGTGGAAGAGGAAGAAGGAAGAGGGGGTAATCATGATATACAACATTTACCTTTTGGAACAACCACTACGTGTGCTGAAGCCCTGCTTCCCAGGAAGTGGCCAGACATCACCTGCTGATGGGAAGTAGAGAGTAAAATCTCCTTGGCTGATGTAGTTGCCAAGCCACTTTCCACGATACTTGAAAAGTCATGGCAGTCAGGTGAAGTCCCAGGTGATTGGAAAAAAAGGGAAAATTGTATCCATATTTTAAAAAGCATAGAAAGGAGGACCCTGGGAACTTCTGACCTGTCAGCCTCTCCTCTGTGCCTGGAAAGACCATGGAAGAGATCCTACCAGAAGCAATGTTAAGGCACATTGAAGACAGAGAGGTGATTCAGGACAGCCAGCACAGCTTCATACACAGCAAGTCCTGCCTGACCAAACCTAGTGGCCTTCTATGATGGAGTGAATATGTCAGGGAGAAGGGAAGGGTTACAGACATTATTTATCTGGACTTCTGTAAAGCCTTTAGAGTTCCCCACAACATCCTTCTCTCTAAATTGGAGAGAGATGGATTTGGTGGGACCTGGACAGCCCCAAGAAGTGGGTCCATGGGAATCTCATGCGGTTTAACAAGACCAAGTGCAAGATGCTGCACCTAGGCCAGGGAAACTCCTGGTATCAGTACAGGTTGGGGGATGAACAGATCAAGACCAGCCTTGCCAAGAAGGGTTTGGGGGTGCTGGTGGATGAGAGGTAGGAGATGAGCTGGCAGCCCAGAAAACCAACTATATTCTGGGCTGCATCAAAAGCAGTGTGGCCAGCAGATCGAGTGAGGTGAATCTGCCCCTCTGCTCTGGTGAGACCTCACCTGAAGTACTGTTTCCATCTCTGGGGGCTCCAGCACAGGATGGACATCAGCCTGTTGGAGCAAGTCCAGAGGAGGGCCACAGAGATGGAGGGATGGTGTTGGGGAGCCCAGCTGGCTCTGGGCTCTCAGTAAACTGAGATACTGAAGATGGAACTTCTTACACCTGGCAGAGGGTTAACCACGGACAGTAGGACTGTGACACAGTGGGTTTCCTGTTAGGAATGTCAGCCTATTGTGTTAGGACATGTGGCTGTATGTCCAATCATGAGTTGTTACGACAGTGGTAAACCAATGCTGTGTGTACATGTGTCACCCCAGAACTGTATAAAGGTAGCTGTACTGTTGCAATAAAAAAGCTGCTGGTATTCTGAAACCCATGTCGCCTCCCCGCCTCGACCGCGACATATGGTGAGCCCCCGACGTGATTGCGAAGGAAGATAGAAGAGAACTCGACGACAAGAAGCGAACGAAGAATCGCTCGGGCGGGATCTCGAGAAGCTGCTACCCGGAGGGATCAGACGGCCGCTGACCCCCCCGTTCCGCTTTCACCGCTTCTCAGCCCGAGAGATCGTATGCCGCTGAGCTGCCTTTTGCTGCTGCTGAGAACTTTCTCGCTGCTGCTGAGACTTTGTCACGGCTACGTAAGTTACTGAGCGGTCCGTTATCAACCCTCCTGCCGCGCTGCCCCGTTCTACCTCGGAGCGTTCGTAATCTCGCTCCGCTCCCAGCCTTCCCGCAGGGCTGCCCCGCTCTCCCCCCTGGAGCATCGTTATCTCGCTCCGCCTTCCAGCTGCAGCCCTATTGACACTGCGTGGCTGCGTGCACAACCTGGGTAGCCCTCGCTCCTGACATCCCAGCTCCGTGCAGCGCCTCAGCCCGCTCCGTGCCCGGTTCGCATCCCTCCGCTATCACCGGACGTCCCTGACTGTGCGTGGAACAGCTGAGACCGCACCCCAAACGTGCCCTGACTCAGCAGTGCTCTTTGTTCCGAGCGACCCTGCCTTCGTTACTCTCGCAGCTGTGGGGCAGGCAAACTGCTGTGTGCCGCCTCCCCCGCTTGGCTCGGACTCCTGCGAAATCTCGTATCCCGTCAACCGGCATTTATCAGCTCTGGGCTGCTCAAAGCAACATTCCAGCTACGGTTTAGCTTCGCCTTTTTGTTACTTTGCTTGTAACTTACATTAGTACCTCCTGAAGCAATCTAAAAGGTTTTCACGTCCTAAACAAGGACGGAGAGAGACAGCTCCGAGAGAGCTGTTGGAGGCGGGAACTCCGGTGTAGTTTTAAAAGTGACAAAAAAGTCGCAGGGGGCCGGCCCAGATATTTTAGAGACACCTGTCTAGAACAGGTGAACCACCGGAGTATAATAAATTCCATGTTATCTAAAGAGGATGACTCTGTCATCCAGAGTGGCAGTTACTGCTAAAGAGAAACATGGAATCAAGCTAGATGCCCTGCTCCTGCAACAATGCTAATTTGGAGCAGAGATCAAGGATGCCAGGACGTCTAAAGTTGCTTTCAGGGGAGTCATGGAATTATTAATTTCCTGACACCTGCTTTTTGAAGCACTGAAAGACTTTAAGAAGTCAAAACCTACCAATTATAATATGAAAAAAAAAAATAGAAAAAAGAAAAAAAAAAGGAAAAAATAGAAAAAAGAAAAAAATGGAAAAAAAAAAAAAGGAGGGGGGAAGGATACTTGTCTGTTCAGCTAGCTTTTGAAGAGCAATATTCTTATCCTCCAACAGTCTGCTTTCTACCTACCTGTGGCACATGCACAAGCTACATGGACAACTCATTTATGGACATTCAGCACTGAGAAGAAGGAGTACCATTCTTGTGGACTGATGAAAGAAGGACTGGTTGATTCTTTGCCTATGTGTGTAATTGTATTGGATTATTGATATTGCTATGTTGCTAGTGCAAGGGCCCTGTATTAGCTGATGCTGGCATTTTCTATAATACAAAAGAGGGGGAATTGTTGGGGAGCCCAGCTGGCTCTGGGCTCTCAGTAAACTGAGATACTGAAGATGGAACTTCTTACACCTGGCAGAGGGTTAACCACGGACAGTAGGACTGTGACACAGTGGGTTTCCTGTTAGAATGTCAGCCTATTGTGTTAGGACATGTGGCTGTATGTGCAATCATGAGTTGTTATGAAGTGGTAAACCAATGCTGTGTGTACATGTGTCACCCCAGAACTGTATAAAGGTAGCTGTACTGTTGCAATAAAAAAGCTGCTGGTATCCTGAAACCCATGTCGCCTCCCCGCCTCGACCGCGACAGGATGGAGCATTTTTCCTGCAAGGAAAGACTGAGAGAATTGGGATTGTTCAGCCTGGAGAAGAGAAAGTTTTGAGGTGACCTAACTGTGGCCTTCCAGTACCTGAAGGGAGCCTACGAGAAACATGGGAAGAGACTTCTTACAAGGACATGTAGTGACAGGACAAGGGGGAATGCTTTCCAACCGAAAGAGGGTAGGTTTACACTAGTTGTTCAAAAGAAATTCTTTACTGTGAGGGTGGTGAGACACTGGATAGAACAGGTTGTCCAGAGAAGTTGCGAATGCCACATACATAAGATGGAGAAAAATTCCCCCTTAAAAGCCTTCACAGTGCTAGTATGAGTGCAGTAGGCTTACACAGAGCAATTACCATGTGGGCTGAAACCCTGCTTCCTGGACAGTGGCTGGACATCACCTGCTGTTGGGAAGTAGAGAATAAAATCTTCTGGGATTTTTTCCCTTTGCTTGTGCACTGTTGGGGGTGAACAGGAGGAGGAGGATTTTAGAAGGTGGAAAGAGACAACTTCTGGTGATGTGGGCCAGACAGTATAAGATAAACAGACTGTCTCTGTTAGATTGTAAGCTTTCTCTTACAGGAGAGAGCAGGCTTCCTTTGATTGAACAGTGTCTGGTCCAGGCATCTGGCCTTTCCAATTAGGTACTTAAAAGTTATCTGAAGATTCATGTATCCCCCCTCTTTTGTATCTGTCAATCCCTAATCCTAACCAATGTCCTGTCCAAGTTTTTGCATACCTTTCCCCTTTTCCAGAATCTTCCTTATCTGCCCTATAAAAACCTTCCATTTTGTAAAATAAAGTTAGATCAGCTCCTAACACCCACAGCTGCTGTTCCTGTGCAATTTGTCTCCTGAGTGCGGTCGGTCTGTCCCTCTGGGTGAGACAAAATACGATCCTGCCAGGCATCCTGATAAGAACTACAGCTCAGCTGAAGGAACCTAGCTGGTCTGGGTATGACCCCTGTACCCCAAACCGTGTCAGTGCACATGTAACCTTTGCAAAATTAATTATTCCAAGACTGTTCACAATGACAGAGGCAAATTAAAATAATCTTGCTGAAGCTATTGACCAACATTTAATGTTGTTGCCAGTAAAGAATCATACTTTAAATGAGAACTCAAAATATTTTTCTTTCACAGGATTAGAAAAGATTTCACAAACAAGGATTTCACTCCATAAAAACTGTTCAGCTGTTGGCTACTGCTGCACTTCCTCCTCCACTCTGCTCACACTGATAGGAAGAATGGAATCTCCACCCACCCAAGCTTTTATCCTACTTGTGCCTGAAGATCTAAGTTGCTGCATAGTTGTCAGTACAGCCAAGGACTGAAGATACTGAAGCAGAAAAAATTCTCTGGCAAGTTTCTTGTTTTATTTTTTTTAATTTCTTGAGTCATTGCCCAATGAAACATCTTACTCTACTCAACTGAATCTGTGTGAAATTGCTGTGCGTAAACAAGAAAACGAAAGGAAATAGTCTAGCAATGTTTGCGGTTGGGATTGAAATGTCTTTTCTCTTTTCTGGCTGATATTTTTAATTGAGATTAGTTCTATAGCCTCCCCTAAAGCAGAGCTTTCCTCTGACCAGATTTGAAGCTCTGAAAGTTATAGCTAAGAAGGGGCCTCCTTGAAAGAAATCCAGAAATCAATAACTAGTTACTGTAAAACAGATTGATTTAAGTAATTAAAGCCTAACAACCTTTAGTTAATGATCTATCTAGTTCAGGTTATTTATATGTAACAAACTTCAAAATACGGCAGAGAACTCTGGGAGTGAAAAGATCCAAGAACAAAAGACACAAAAGGTCTGCAAACATTTTCGTGAGTATGAAGCACAAAGGGTGTTAGCAAGAATTTCTGTTTATTTTCTCTACGGAGGAAGGGTTGGGTCCTGAATGCTGATTTCATTGCCAATTGTTATGCTCTGCTTTCTTTTGAATCACACCTCTTTTTCTTGCCTTTCAAAGGCAGCATATCTACAGTCAGAATTTTACATAAATATATTTGGTATGGGAATAATGGCTTTTTTATCTTTTTGTATCTGAGTAAACAGAGTGAATTTTAGGGATAGTGAGAACTATCAGTAATATATCAAGCATTTCTGAAAATGAGATCCAGCTTTAAAGAGTCTATATATGAATCCAGATGGGCCAAATCATGACCAAAGAAATCAGAGGACATAGAATTCAGTCAAAAAGAGAGACCTCAAGAATGGATGAGTAAATTTAGGCTTTTTTTCAGAGCAACCAAGTTAATTCCAAGCCTTTCTTTCTTCATGTAGTGCTCAACAGCCATGGATAAAATGAAAGATTTGAGTCTGAAAGGCACAATTCCCCGAAGTGAGTTAACTGAAGTGGAAGGTGTTCTCATAGCAAAACCAATGCTCGTCACCTGGGATCAAGTATGCAAGTTCAAAGCCAGACCTGACGATGTGCTCATTTCAACCTATGCAAAAGCAGGTTGGTATGTGTAGGAAAGAGAATAGAAAAGTTTGGGATAGTGCTTATTTTTGAAATTGAAAACTATGTTTTTCTATTGTGACTCATATTCCAAACCAGATCATAAAAAAATAATTACTTGAATTAACAATATTTAAGGGTAGGTTTGTTGGGTTTTTTCAGTAGGGGAAAAAAACACCAAAAAATACACCACCACTAGTTTTGTAGAACCTGAAAGCTTTTAATTCACTGTCTGCATACTGAAAGCAAAACCACGGTTTTTTATCCAGTCTGGATTAAAACCTCCCAGTCACTGAACTGCAAAAAAGTTGGGAGTCCACTTGACATTATGTCATATCTGCCTCAGGTGCACAATTCAAGCATCTTAACAGCTGAATTTCCTTCCCACATTGCTTTCCAAGTTATCCCTTAGCCTGTTTTCTAGCTGACCTGTCACAGTATCTCAGAGGAGATGTGGTTAACACAGTGATCACAGCTATAAAAGAAAAGAAGCATGAGATACATAATACTTAACACAAGATTTTGCAGTTGCTCAGGTAGATGAAGTTGCTCAGGCAGATGTACTGATCTTCATTAAAGGGGTTCAAATGGAAACTGTCACTCTTTTATATTTTCAAACTGTATGGAATTTTTACTCACTTGAAGTTCAGGTATTGCAATTTTTCACTCAAATTCATCATGAAAACAAAAGTTGAAATACCTGAATTTTTGTGAGGTATGAAAATTGGAATGAGGGAGCTTCATTCCTCTCTGTAAAGAATACAACCTCCAAAAAATAGTGAGTTTATCCCAGAACTTTTTTCAGTACTGGTGTGGGGTTGGGGGCTATTTCTTTTGGCATGAAGCAGCCTGTTGTAAAATGGAATCCCTGAAATTCTGCTTTGGGAATTACCTTTGTATTCCTAATTAAGCATTTTTCTCCCATTATCCTTTCTTTCCACTTTGTCCATTATCTTTTGTGCTATTCCTTCCTCCTTTAATGCAGAGTCCATCCTTCTGGCTTTCAGTTCCCTAGAAGAGACTCCTGGCTATCCTGGAGGGAAACATCTAAACACTTGACATTTTCAGGTACCACATGGACACAGGAGATAGTGGATATGATTCAACAAAATGGAGATATTGAGAAGTGTAGACGTGAAACAACTTACAAACGCCATCCTTTCCTTGAGTGGTTTATTGCTGAACCTCCATCTGAACGTTACTCAGGTGAGTATTATACAAGTAGGTTTGTATTTTAGACAAAATGAAACAAAACAAGCACTTGGTGCTGATGCCATAAGTTTCCTGAGAAAGGTCCCACTTGCTTTGTTACAGAACTATGCACCATTAAGGACTAGTTCAGTTGCTTTAACGTAAACATCTAGTACTACTCAAGGTGATGCAAGGCTGGCAGATTTAACTCAGGTGCTACTGAAGACCATGCTGTTTTAGAGTGGTATCCAAATGCTGTGAATGATACTCCACGGTACCTAAACTGGATGGCAACTGGTGGACAATTGAATCCCATTCTCTGATTGCAGGTTGTATGGAAGAGAAACCCATCACTGATGTATTTACAAAAGGTGGATAATGTTTTCAGTGGTTTTGCCACTGTTTCAAGTAACTGCTGTTCAGTTCTAGGGCCTACTCATCTAAATAAACTATGGGACCTTCAGGTAACCAGCAGGCATCACTGGTTTGCAAAGACAGTTTCCTACAAGAGTCTTTCCCCAACAAGGGCTCCACTTGCACACAAATCCTTGTCACAATCCCTTCACATTTGAAGCTAAAAGGCTTGACTAACTCTGCAGAAGTGCTACTTTTTCTCTTCTAAGTTAGACTGTATTGACACCGAGAGAGACAAAAAAATCATGATGACAGAGGATGATAGAAGATGACAGGGAAAAAAAAAAGGTCACGACAGATGTTTCAAAAGGAGAGAAGAGGAAATAACACATCTCCAAATATCACCAGATATTCCCAAGTACTCACATATATTCATAGGTACTGAAAATCCACTGTTGTTCCCCTAGTTTCTATTTATGTGCTATCCAGAAAGTCTATCAGCCAGTCATATTCTTCTATTCTAGAAAGGAGCAAAAATTTCTTACCTGTGCAAGTGGGAGGAGATCACTAAATACTGCAAAGGAAAAACTGTGGTTCAGTAATTATAAATCAGTATTCATCATCATCCCTCAGAATGCAGGAGTTAGATGTGGACCCAAGAAAGTAAGAAGATATGAACAAATATTTCCCCTTTAACTTGAATATATAGGTAAAAACTTCCTAGAAACACTGAGGATGCTTATGTAATGTTGCTCATGTTACACTGTTATGTAATTGCTTTGGAGATGAATGATTGGTGCAAGGTATACTGCTGAAAAGTCATGGTCAAAATCACATGTACGAGAATAGCAAAGAAGTGCTAGTGCAATTTAGAGAACAACTCACATCTCATAATTAAATATCCCACAGGTATAGAGTTAGCTAATGCCATGCCATCTCCAAGAACAATAAAAACTCATCTGCCTGTGAAGCTGATGCCTCCTTCCTTCTGGGAACAAAACTGTAAGGTAAGGCTGAGGAGGTTGGACTCAACTCTACTTCACGGGCAAACGAAATGACATAAACCAGGACAGAATATGTTTTCCAGAATGTCTGTGAAACCTAAAGGTCCCCACAGATATTTTCCCTTTAATGTGCAAAGTCTGTGAAAATCTAAAGAAGTCATGACTAAGTTACCTGAGCTGGACTTTAGAAAATGGAAGCTTGAAAGCAATATCTCCTAAAACGCTGTCATCGAGGTCCAAGACAAAACTTTAGGATATTCTCAATATCTACATAATCATGTGCAAGTTAATTTTTTTTTCTCTCTCTCTTTTTATGTCAATAAAGATAATCTATGTGGCAAGAAATGCAAAAGACAACCTGGTGTCATACTACCATTTCCACAGAATGAACAAGGGATTGCCTGAGCCAGGAACCTGGGAGGAGTTCATGGAGAAATTCATGAATGGACAAGGTGATGAACTGCAATCAGTTGTATAAAAGATTTTGTTAATTTTAAAAATGCATTGCAATGATTTATTTATTTCAGCTATGGTTTGATATCTAGTGATGATTTCACTCTGTGGAATGATAACTACTGAAGATGTTTCAGTCATAATTTATCTTCATTCACAGGATTTTATTAGTACCTAAAGGATTATTAAGCCTATCTTTACACTCCCATTTGGAGAAAAAACCCACCCAACTCTTTATTCTGCTGTGGATCCTGCTCTGAGCATCCATACACCAGAGGGATTAATAGCACAAATGCTGTGATAAGCACAGAGCAAAGCAGTCATGGCCACAGTGATTTAAAACCAGATGGTAAATTCCCAGGCACTGGTCATAAGGGAACGATGAATGCCACATGTGTTAAAGACAATTAGGGCATTTATAGCTGCTGTTGATGTTCCTTCTTTTTCAGTGCTCTGGGGTTCCTGGTATGACCATGTAAAAGGATGGTGGAAGGCAAAAGATAAGCACCGTATTCTCTATCTCTTCTATGAAGATATGAAGGAGGTAAAAGGCTGAATGTATGTTTATAGAGCTCTGAAATCCAGAAGTCTACTAGATACTGCCTACAAGCTACTTTTGTATTATAATGCCAGCTGTATCTGTAAACCTTATGACAATCTGATCTTCTCAGTCTAAGAATTGCAGCTTTAACACTATGTTTGATTTCTTTTCCTGCCTCTTTTTTTTTATCCCATGTCATTGTCTCTGCAGAATCCAAAGCAAGAAATTCAGAAGATTGCAAAGTTCCTGGAGAAGGACTTGAGCCAGGAGGTTCTAAACAAGATAGTCCACCACACCTCGTTTGAGGTAATGAAGGAAAATCCCATGACAAACTACACTAAAGACTTTAATGGAATTATGGATCACTCTGTTTCCCCATTCATGAGAAAAGGTACTGAGATTTGTTACTTAAATCAGCTCTTTTTGGTTGTCATTCTGCTTTGAAATAAACCTTGAAGTACAAGGATCTAGTGAGCTCTTGGTAATTGGCTTCAGGAAATACTGATAAATTAATCTTTTTCCTTTGTTTGCTTTGCTGTTTCTTAGGGACTGTTGCAGACTGGAAAAATCATTTCACTGTGGCACAGAATGAGAAATTTGATGAAGATTATAAGAAGAAAATGTCTGATACCTCTCTTGTTTTTCGCATGGAATTGTGATTATTTGCAATGGGAATTAATGATCTTCAGTCTTTTCCACGTCATATATTTTGCCCTCACAAAATGCCAGCGATCCTAGGATTTCCATCTCTCTTCACACCCCACTGATTTTTCATTATTGTCAGAGTGCCCAAATTATGCCAAACTTTAAGTCTCGTTGAAGAAAATAATTCCATTGGATACTTCTCATTCATCACTACCGCAATAACTTTCAGCATTAATAAAAATATTTCAGATATGCTTTGAGCTTTTGTCCTTGTAAAACTGTAGTTGATATTGCTGGCATTTTCAAATCAAACTCTTACAGAAACTAGGAACCAATAGGGAAAAATGGTGTTAAAAGAGCACAACCGATTGTATGAACATTAATCAAGAAATAACAACAAACAAATTCAAAGGTGGTCAAGTATAAAGAGAGCAACAGAACAGCACAAAGTAGAATAAATTTCCTTTTCTCTCATTTTAAGCTGGACATCATAAATGCTGTTGAGATGAAAGCAATATTTCCAAAACCACCAAACACCCCTTACTTCCTTTGATCAAATTTGCTAAAGGGCTACACACAGGCATTTATTTAGAATCCAGCTGTAGAGGCAGTAGTCCTTACTGCATTAAGAGTAGAAGCTTTTCTCACATTTGCCTTCTCAACTAGATATCATATTCTTCTGTTAACATTTGGAGAATTCTGAAAGTTGACCCACACCAGGTCAAGAGTCAGTGCTGCACATACCATCTCCATCTTCACTGTTGTAAGTGTTCATCAGATGTCTCACGTTATTGCCTCCTCCTTTACTCCATTTTTAATCAAATATATAAACGTCCCACTGAGGGCTCTTAGTTGCAATAGGGCCTGGTTGATATTAGGAAATAAAAAACAGTTCTGCTTTAGCATTAGTATCACCACTATAACCATGCTTTGAGCTTGTGCAAAATTAACAAAAACAATTCATAACCCAGTTAAGTATAGGCAACTGTTACCAATCCACTTTTGGTTTTAAAGTGCCACCATTGAGCTTGGCACATAAAAAAGGCCCCAAAGAGTTCCTGCTTAACTGGGTTTGCACTCTGAATGTTAGAAGGAATGCAGTGCAGACTACAGAAGCTGAAGGAGAATATTCTCTTAGTCTCATTTAATCTAGTTTAACACAAGAAATGCTTGCTGGGGTTATTTTCTCTTTGGCCCATGTCAACATGCACAGTCCATTTCAGGCAACCTACTTAATCCAAATATCTAAAATGAATGCAGTCCTCTAAAGGGCAGCAATAATCTTTCAACAAGTTTGAAAACAAACAAAAGGCTTCATGTTAAATGTGGAAGTTACATTGGCAGTTCCCTGCCCAATGAGTTTCCCCCAAAAATGAAGGAATCACTGAAACCAGAAACACACATTTAATATATTAGCACACTATATATATTTTTTTAAGGCTTAGATCAACAGATTCCTGCCCACAAACAAAGGATGTCTCAGTAAAATGACTACCTGAGAAAAAAATTACCTGTCAGAGGCACTGCTGTTCATCACAGCAAGGCTAACTACCAGCCTGAGGAGCTTTCTTCTACTTGTTTGGTTTTTGTTTATGATTAACCTGATTTACTATCTCACTATTGCCAGTATGAGGAAAAGGCGTTGGTTGCCTGCTCTCTCGGATATTTCCATTCTCCTGGATTGCTCTATGAAACCACATGAGTCAGCACACTTTGTCAATCTAATCCTCATTCAGTGCCACAAGAGATATCAGTAAATGGAAAACATGCTTAACTCAGTATCTTGGTGACATTTTCTGAGCAGCTCTATACAAAAGGTCACACAGAAGACATATTTGCTCCTCCTTTGAAATCTCTGAATCTATCAGAAGTGCAAAATGCTGACAGTGGCTGAAAGGCAGCTGCACAGCCACCACAAGGATAGAGGCACCATATAATAAGGGGCTTGTATCACACTGGGAAAGTCACCTTTGCTCCCTCACTTGCTTAGGTAACTCTTCACCCAGCTGCAATTCAGCTGCTATGAACAACAGATAAAAACTAACACAGGTCAGAGTGCAGTCCCAGAATAAAAAGGGGGGAAACAAACACAAGCTTCTGGTGCAAACAAAGGACTGTTTACTGTGGAGGTAGAACTCTGTTTATTAGACATATGTCCTGAATATACATCTATGCCTTATATTCATCCAGTTGCCTAGATGCACAGTTTTACTAACCTTCTCAGGTGCAACATCTTCTGTGTTAGTTTAGCTAATGCAATCCCTCAGCAACTTCTTCAATGCTGCTTGTGTCTTCTTTTATAAGAGAGTGTACATGCAGAGTTTTGATAGTGGAGAAACTCTGTTATTCATCTCTTAAAAAAGTCTCAAAATCAATAACATAGTAACTGTTCACATGGTTCTGTTTCATATTGCTCATGTTGCTCTGCGTGAACAACTACCAAAACAAATGCTCCTGCAGAAATGACTGAAGATTCCTGCTTTGATACAGACTGTTTAACAGGTACTGCTGTATTATTACTAGAGTAGTCGTGACCAGCCTTTAGCTTGGCTGTCAACAGCAACTAAGGGAACTGTTTTACTTTCACATGGAATGCAACCATTTGCGAAACAGAACGGAAGAAGCACCAAGCTTCAAAAAATTAAAGAAAGAAACACAGAAGAGAGCTGTTTTATCTTCCCAGCTAGCATTCAAAGACAGATGGACATTGCTTTCCTTTCCACTAATTTAACTGTAGATAATCGGCTTCATGCTTGGATTGAAAGTTGCTGTTTGTCCAGTTAGGAACACAGACTATGTACAGGAAGAAGTTTTTATTTAATTTGTCCTATCTGTATCAGATATGGATATCCTATCCTATAACATATACTTTGTAAGTTTTTTATAATGATTTGTGACAATATGTTCACAAAAAGCATTATCTTTACAACAAGGTTAATTATTAATGCTGCCATTTTTTCAAGGTACATTAACATATTTTAAGCCTGGACTGAATCTTCCATATTCCCTCACATCCTCCATGTATGTTGCAAGGTCTGTCTCACTGTAGGTGAGCCTGGAGGCACACTGCAAATGAAAGTTAAGGCCTTCATACTGATAGGTTGCAATCAAACTGTGCTGCCAGACTGAAAGTCACAGGCTTAGGCTGGATAAAAGGCTCTGTTTGCCCTCCAAACCAAGAACAGACTTAGGCACTGTGTAGGTAGATCAGGAATGCTGTCATGCAGCAGTGTCCCATGGTTCATGTTGAAGAGGCAAATTACTCGTGGACTATTTTTCAGAAGGGCTTTGGCATAGCCTGCTGCAAGGGCAGCTGATATTTATCCGTTGTGTGAGCTCACATTGCCTTTAGGACTGTGTGACGGCTCACAGTTGAAGCCATCTACCATGACATGAAGACAGAGGGATTATGTCAAAAGCAAGCTACACTGGGTCCTGCTCTGGTACAGTCCATACAGGTGTAGATAGAGTCTTAGGTTAAGCACCTAAAAATGAAGGTAACTAACTTTTTTTTTTTTAATTATTAAAATTGGGCCTCTTGATTCACAGTAATTTTTGTACCAATAACCCTCACTCGTGGTCTAATTGCTATCACACTCTGTGTGCAATTAAAAGGACTTTCGTATTCTGTTAACAACTGAACAGGCTTTCATAGTCAGACCCAACCCCAAGTGCAGGAAAAAAAAGGCTCCTTTTTTCAATTTCACTCTAATTATTCAGCAGGCTTGGTGGGTTTTGCTGATAAGAACACCAAACTAATCACCTCTGTTTCCTACTGCAGTTTGAGACCAGAATTAAGGACTATGTATACAATTTTGGTTTTTTAACACCTAATCAAATTCTTTACACACAAATTAGTACTGAGATTAATAACTCTTAACTTTTTTCATTCCACTCCTGTAAGAAGTTATCACACCTCAACTCAAGCCAATGAAATGGTCATAGTCAGCCAAATAATCTACAGTTCATTTGCACAGAGCAGGGGGAATACTTTAAGTTTCCAAACAGAGAAGAATAGTTAACATATTGTAAATTCATATGTTGCTTTCCTTTATACTAACGTGGCATGTGGAAAAGACATAGAAGTAGCTCAAAGCAAGAACTCTGACCCAGCTTGGTTCACAAGCAGGAGTTTGCAATCTTCAGAATCTGTTGCAAAGGCAGATTCTACAGTGGAAAGTATTTAAAGCATCAGCTCTTGTATGCTGAAAACACATTCCTCAGCTGCAAAACTAGAGTAATTTTCTCATTCTATGCTCTTCAGAAAATTCTTGCAGGTCTAATAATTCCAACGACAGTGAACAAGCATTTGCACCCTGCCTTGAAGTAAGGGCTAATCACAGCCCCTGGGACTTGGCTTCCCAATGAAAGCAGGATTGAAAGTTTGTTATGCTCTCTGCCCCAACACATCTCATAAATGTCCTGACAATATTGTTTTACATAAACAATGCTATTTAAAAATAATAATTAATTCTCTTTTACAAAGATAATAATATCCCAGGATATAGGAAGCATGTAAATTATTCTAGTTTTTCTCACTTAACTTGTTTCAAATTAGATACATGATTTATTATGTATCAACTTACTGGCTCCTTCTAGATATGAAAGACATGCAATTCATAAACTGTTTAAGAAAACTATGTAAGACTATTGCAGGTACAAATTGACACTTTTTTCCCACAAAATATGGAGCAATGTACAGTTTATTGTAACAAACCAAAACCCTCAATTTTTTTTCTTCTAGTTATTCTAGAAACTTTAAAATTTTTGTACCATTCCCTAATCAGGATGCTTTGCACTTGCTTTTGCAATTCAGGACCAGAACAAAAGACTGTCAAAGACAATCTCAGATGTAAAAATACACCTAAATTCTGTTCCACAAAATGGAGGGGGGTGGGAGGGGAGAATTAATCTGTCTCTGTGAAGTACTTGTTTCACAGGAACAGGGAGCAAGGGGAGGGTGAGTAGTTCCCAGCCAGAATCCCCAGAAAGCCTGGGATGAGTAAGCCAGTCTTCAGTACAAACACATCTGAAAACTCTTTTATGTCTGCCTTGGATTGTCTCCAAAATCAATTTCTTTATAGGCTAAGACATGAGATGACCCAAGAGCTGGATCATAATACATATTTTCTGAGGACAGATGGAAGGAGCAAATTTGCATGAAACATTGTTTTCTCTGGGGTTTTCCAAAAGAGAAGGTAAACTTTCCTGAAGTGTTCTCCCAAATGTCTAAATTCAGTTGGAGGCTGACCTCGAAGCACAAGAGCTGTGCAGTATGGCATTGTTTGGTATGAAAAGCTTTAGCTAAGAATAGTTTTGGAAGGACTGTATCTAGAAATGGTCTTCTTGAAATTGTGTAAAACACCCATGTTAGATCATGGCAGCACAGGTGTAGGTACTCAGCTCAGAGTATCCCAAAGGGGAAAGGGAAAGGAAGAATTTACCTGTTCAATGCCCTATGAGGCTTCTAAAAAGTATAACAGAAGTAACGAAAAAACAGCTTCTTGATGTTTCATTAGGGGCATTTATTCCTTGCCAGCAACCTGTGTGACCATGGAACCATATGTTCCTGCCACAGTTGTGTACCTGCATAGACTACAATACACAGTAAATATATACAATGTACAGTGAATGCATTGGAGGTGAAAAGGAAAAAAGGAAACAATTTCTGAGGTATATGTGAAGAACCTTTCTGTCTTTTGTCACTAGTTGCCATTTGAAATTTAAAAGAAGAATGACTGTAAGCAGACTTGGAAAAATGCAAATTATTCTTCTGAGAGCAGCATTTTGACTAACATGATTCTCATTTTTAAAATTAAAATAGATATTCTCTCATGACATTATAATTAACTTGGTGGTATTCAGTATTTATCCAGTGAACCGTAAATATGCCTAAATTGTTTCTCTCAGGCAACTTCTCATTAAAAATCAATTACTTATCATGAAAATGTGAAAAATAATTCAGGCACTACCAAAGTGCATGCATGATTACAATGAAAAACGTGTACCCTTTAAAGTAGGTATTGGTCCCCTCAAATGCCTACCCAAACTGGCATAAAAAATGTCTCTTAAAAAACACGTAACTACAAGCCATAATATCTGGCTTCTGGTAATTTTCCTGTAAGTCCTTCACCTTCATTTTTAAATTTACAGAATGACAGAATACTTAAGTGTTGGAAGGGACCTCTCTGGGGATCATCTAGTCTAACCTTCCTGCAAAGGCAGGGTCATCTAGAGCAGGTTATACAGGATCACACACAAGTGGGTTTGGAATGCCTCCAGAGGAGGAGACTTCACAACCTCCCTGGGAAGCCTGTTCCAGTGCTCTGCCACTCTCAGTGTAAAATTCTCGCCCATGTTGAAATGGAACTTCTTGTGTTTTAGTTTCTGGCCATTGCTCCTCGTCCTGTCACTGGTCACCTCTGAAGAGTCTGGCACCATCCTCTTGTCACCCGTCGCATTTATTCGATAAATAACTTAGTCACTTTGTGCTTCCATTAAGATATTAAAGACAGAGTCTTGAACTGTTAAGTTTCTGCCTGACACTTTGCTCTTCACGTCATGTTCTCCCAACGGTGACACTCGTGCCTGCAGCTGTGGGTTCCCCTCAGGAGCCCTTCAGGAACAGGGAAGGGGCAGGTTACAGCGGTGGTGTAGCCGTACACCTGTGCCGCTTTTATGAGGCGGAGACCATGATTTCGGCAGCGTTACGTGCTCTTCCCAGCTCATGCCCGTCTCAGGCCGCCTCCGCAGCCGGGGCAGCCGGGCCCCGGGGCAAGCCGAGCCTCGGCGCAGCCCGCGCCCCCTCCCGCCCCGGGGCGGTGCTCGGTGACGGGCAGGCGGAGCGCGGCGGGCCGGGAGCCGCGTTCCCGGCGTGCCGGGATGACGGAGGCGGAAGCGGGCCGGGGAGGATGTAGCGGCGCTGACAGGGGCTGCGGCGCCGCGACCTGCCCGCCCCTGCCGCCGGCCGGCCCCGCCATGGAGGTAACGCGGCTAGGGGAGAGGGGGCGCGGGGCCCTCGGAGGGGAACCGCAGCTGGAGCGGGTGGGCAGGGGGGCGGTGCGTGACCTTGGGGTGCGGCGTGGCGGGGCCGGGGAGGGTGAGGACCAGCCCCTTCTCCGCCTCCCCCTCCCGGGGTCCCTGCCCGCGGTGACGGGCGGGGAAGCCCGCGGGCCCCTGCGCCGCCTCCTCGCTGCCTCCGCGGGCGGCGCAGCCCGGTGGGCGGCAGCTGCGCGGGGCCCGCCCGGGCCGGGGTGGGAAGGGGCGCTCCGGCCCTGCCCTGCGGAAATGCGAGCGCCGGGCCGGGCTACAAGGGGTTACTCAGTGCCCCCCTGCTTACAGGGTGGGGGCGTCGCGCTGTTGTCAGGGCCGGGGGGGAGCAGGCGGTGCTGGAAGGGACTCGAGGGGAGCGAGGCTCGGGTGACACGGCGGGTGCGCGGAGTGGTGACTCTGTGAGAGCACCCACGGGCCAACAAGGGCTCCCGTTCCGCTGCGGTGACCCGCTGTGTTAACACCACGTCAGCTGTGAAACACCTACCAACACAAGCAAATAAATCATTGAAGCGTCTGTATCTAGTGTAGCTTTCGTAAAACACCAAGGCAAATCCAAATACAGCGCTGAAGAGTTTAAAGTTCATACAATAAATCGACTCTCCGGGTAATGTCTGAGCTGCTCACGTTCTAATGGAGCTTTAGTGCTGCTGTTGAAGCAATCACAATTCAAAAAGTGTTTTGATGTGACTTGGTACGCTTAGAGTTGGTGATGCCTAATAGTTGCACACTGCCCAGAAGATTGCTGTTCGTGGTGGTCATTATTGCCACAGTTCACAACAAAAACTAATATATTGCATTTGTGCATTCGTTAGGCTTTCTAAGACTTTTTTTCTGTGTTAAGCTATTGCAAAAGTGAGGGACAGATAGCAGTTAAAATATATAGAACATGCTGAAATATGACATAGAAACACCTTAGAGTAGATAAAGTGACTTGAAATAAAAAAAAGAATGTATATATATGTGTGTATGTGTATATATATATATATTAGTAAAGTATGGAAGCATACCCTGGTTTCAGAATGGTGGACTAGAAGCCTAAAAATCCTCACAGTATTCAGTGTTGGGCTTAAAAGCATACTTACTGTCTACTGGCTTGCAGCTTGGATGCACCTAATCAATGAGAAGTTTAGGGTCTTTTAGTAGCTCATCTTCCTTCTTGTTCTTCTATTTCAAATGAGTGAAGCGCTTTACATGAACTGCTTCTGGGTTCTGTTACCAGAACAGCAAAACTAGATGTGTTGTTCTACACGATATGTGGTTCTGCCTCTGTATGTATTAGCTTAAAGGAGAGTAAAAATATTGTGAGAAAAAGATTCATCTGACCTTGCTGTAGTATGGAGAGACGTGAGCTGTTATTTTCTAAACAGCACATGTGGTTTGCTATACTTAATTATGCTATCTAAGCATACTGCTTGTAGTGACAGTGTTTTGCTAAGTCTACTGCTGAAATATTGAGTGTAACTATTAACAAAGTTTTATATACCAAGAGAATATGAAACTTAAACCTTATAGCTTTTTTGTAATGCTGTATTTATGTTTAATGGGCATGTTATTTTTTAATGATTGCTTTTGCCATCTGAAAAAAAATCACCTTTTTGCCCATGTGATACATACATAAGTTTAACTGCCCTTGTCTTTGGCCTGTACTTGAACTTATATTTCTAATGAGGATCCTTTTTATTATCTGTATCACCTGTTCCCCCTAAATTGTTAGTGATTCTTCATTCTTATAGTGTTCCGATTCACTCTGGTTTTTCCTTAGTTTCTACTCTAAGGGTTTTGGGTATTTTGGCAGAATAAAGAAAGCAGCAAAATAAAAGTGAAGGTATGTGTGTACACATACATACACACACAAACATGTAGATATATAAAAATACAAATATTAATGTATATACATATACTCATGCACATATGATAGTATGAAGGAAGAAGCAGGGTAAAGATCAAAACTTGGAAATGCTACCCTTAATATATTGGAAGCGTCTGTTCCATTTTCCTTTGCACCATCATGGCTACATATGTTTCTTCATGTTCCTGATCATATGTAAACATATCTCATATAAATCACAGCAAAGTAACAGAATCTCCCAGATGAGATCTGTGGAAGTTTACAGAAGAAGGCATTGTGCATATATGTCAGGAATAGAGAGCCCAGAATTTGCGAGCTTTTTCAGTTACATTTGTCAGGCCAGTAATTATAGCAGTAACTAGTAGGTTTAAAAAACAGAAAGGAAAGGGGGAGCTATAATTCAGGGTTTAAAAGAGTCCTGACTTTGCAGAGTCTTTTGAAATATAGTTTGTTAGGCGAACAATTCTAGCAATACTAATGTGTTTAAGAAACAAAAAAAATATTGGGACTTTATGTGGTTCAAAAGGTCCCAAAGTTTGATTTAACTGCAGCCCCTCTACAAGTCTTTTTTGTTCATGCCATTTTTTAATGTCTCTTTTAAGAATGAGGTCATGTGTCACACTTTTTAAGCTGCTCGTAAATAAAATTGTTTTTCAGTGCATCAACTCTAGGTGTCAGTTCAGTAGTGGAATCATTAGATCATACTGGTTTGCACATCAAGAGTTTTCTATTCTGCTGTTCTAATAATCATGGTAACTCTTTTTCTGTTATGCTTCTGACTAGTCCCACAAATACCTTGTTTTTAAATTTTATTTTAATTTTTTTCAAGTTAGTTACTGCAGATTGTACTTCATTTTGTTATAGGTTCAAGATGCTGGGCAGGATATGGTGGCATCTTCTGGCACACCAGGATCAGGCAAATCAAAGGTAATCAGTCCTCAAAAAGTTCATTTATTTGGATAGCAGTAGCTGAAAGAGTTACAGCTTAGCATGCAAGCTGTGACTAATACGAAGACATAAAGGTATTTTTAGCATTTCCTGTCTTCTAGACAGGAAAAACTTATCCTAGTTTATAAACACTAGGATAAGGTGTCTTGGAAAACATGCGGAAAAAAATCTCTTCTTGACATGTTCCCTTCTGTTATATTTGATAAATTATTAATAGCATCCAGTTTTGGCAGTAGTGTGTTTCATAATGGTCACAGACAACTTTGCATATGTTGGAAGTAAATTTAAAAAATGACAGTGTTAGGACAGCATGCTATTTTCAAAACACTGTTCAAATTATATTACTGAATTGTAATCCTTCCCAACTGAGTTTTCCTCTCTAACTGATGCTATCCAATTCTGTGCTCCAAAATTATTTCAGAAAAGTACAGAATTAGGAGTAGTTTCTGTTATTGCACTTGGAATAACAGAATTGGATAACAGAATGGCAGTAACTTGGACTGTTTCCCTTCTTGCATATGCATGGTAAGAGTTTCTTGCCCTAAAATTCAACTTCTCGGAAGTCAGATGCTAAAATGCCCTGTTTCTGTTAAGTCTGGGTTAGAGGAAACTGATTTCTCTAATATATGCTTTTTTTACAGCTGGACACATTGCCCAAAGAAGACCTCATTAAGTTTGCAAAAAAGCAAATGATGCTTATACAGAAAGTGAAGTCGAGATGTACAGGTACCTTACTAGAAAGAGAACAATTTCTGCCTTAATGTTTGGTATTATCTTACCTTTTCTAATATCACTGCATGTTTTTTATAGGTAGATTTAAATTCTAGGCAAATATCCTAGATGTTTTTTTCTGCAATTTCGCTATTTATTTTGGAAGGATAGGGTCTGGAGTCCTTAGAGTAAGAATGGGAAGAAAAAGAAGCATTGCTTTTGTCAGGTATTAAATTAATTTTGATCTGGCAGTATGGGCATGACGGAACAATGTAGCTTGCGTAAAAGTTGCAGTAGGACGTCATTGTCTGTTCCCCATATTGGCACAGGGATAAATACCTGTTGCTTTTCAGGAAGTAAATGGAAGGGGAAATGTCTGTGATAGTTTTTTCCATAATTAGTGCTGTTGCAGAGCACAATGGCTTCTTTAAGATAGTTAGCCAGTTTATATTTAATCATCTGCTGCTATAACAAGAAATCGTAAACTACCCCAAACAAAATTTTACGTTAACCACCTAAAAGTATTCTGTGTAAATCTGTGCTGTCGTGTGCTGCCCTTCTCTGCTCTGCTGTCCCCTTTCCTCCAGCGGCCCACTACTCAGACTGGTGTCACTTCCCCTTGTTTGGAATTACAATTAATTAATTATGCTGGCTGCTGGTAGCTGCCCAGTGAAACAATAAGGATAGAGGGATGAGCTATACCAGGCTTTTCCTCAGAGGGGTAATTCATGACATCTCGTTTTTCTGCCTGCTGCCATTTTCAGAGAACCAGTAGGTACTGAGTATCTTTCCTCTGGCTTAAATTGATCATGAAATAGAAGGTAAGATGATCATGAAAGGAATTTCTGTCTGTTGTCCCTCAGTCCAAAGAAGGACGTTTCGCTTCCTCAGAAAACCGTGCTCAGTGTTAGAACTGGAGAAGTAATCCTGAATATTTGTCCTCTTTCCATTAGTCCTTTCTATCATTCAGTAACAAACAAAAATTGATGAAGTAAAAGACATCTCTGATTTGAATAGAAGTGTTGTTAGGCACTGGATTTACTAGAAATTTGCTACTGTGATGGAGTATCAATTCATGCTGTGAAATTTCTTTACCTTTTTGAGAACTGGAGAAAGAGATTGAAGAACTCAGATCTAAAGCAGCTACTGCAGGAGCTGATGATATTATTCAGGTAGGAATACATAATGAGTTTCTACTGTATTACATAAAGTTAGCTGAAATAAATCCACAGAAATAATTCGCTAAATAGTAAATAGCTTTAAAACTATTATTTAAATTGCATGGAATTAATTTTCAGGAATATAAGGCATTTCCTAAAACCTTTTTTTTTCCCCTCCTCCCCCCAAGTCCTTCCTCCACTTGTCATAAATCCTATTGGTTCTGTGAGAAATTTTACAGAATAGTACAATTTCCAGGGAGAACTTACCACAGTCCTTCAGTACTTGAAATGGGCTTATAAGATGAGGACAAAACTTTTCAGCAGGGCCTTTTGTGGTAGGACAAGAGGCAATGGTTTTAAACTAAAGGAGGGTCAATTTAGATTAGATATAAGGAAGAAGTTTTTTTCATGGGGGGGGGTGGTGAAACACTGGAACAGATTGCCCAGAGAGGTGAGAGAGGCCCCATTCCTGGAAACATTCAAAGTCAGGTTGGACAAGGCTCTGAGCAACCTGGTAGAGTTGAAGATACTCCCTGCTTATTGGAGCGGGTTTGGACTAGATCACCTTTACAGGTCCCTTCCCACCCAAACAATTCTATAAATGTCCCCAGCAAGACTTTTTCCTTGTGTAGCTGGTTAGACAGGCTTTTGTTTAATGTGGAATGACCATTGCAGAAAGACTTCTGCCATTTAGAAGACTTCTGAGACAGTCATGCGATGAGATTAGAAATACATAATTAAAGTTGCATGTCACAAGAAATACTTTCAGGAAAGTAACTCGAATAGTTTTGATGTGGCAAGAACATGTCATTTTCAACGTAAAGGTCATAGCATATGAATGTGAAAATTGGTAATGAGGAGGACTTTGTCAATTGGAGAATCGTTTTGAATAATTTGGAGGGACAATTCTACAGAAGGTGGACTTCCCCATCACTACCTGGTGATTAAAAATTAGCTGATCACAAGTAGGATTTTTAACAGAACCAACGTCATTGTTTGAGTCTACCTATTTCATATCAGTCTTATTTGGGCTGAAAGTAACTTTTAAAATCATACTGTGTTTAATTGACAAAAAGGGTCATAATCAATATGTGAGTTTCTACATTTTTCAGAAATCATTGTTTCCATTGTTAACAAACTCCTCTTTCAGTGATCTTTCTCGTTTAATATTAGGCTCTCACAGAAAGACTGGACGTTGTACTTCTGGAAAAAGCTGAAAGTCAGCAGCAATGCATAGCTCTGAGAAAAGAAAATACTCAAATAAAGCAAGAAGGGGAGGTATTGAAAAGACCCATGGAATATTACAAAAATATTTCAGAATTCTGTTTATTTTCTAGGTTTGCTTGTTGTGTTTTTAATTTTGACCTTTCTCTTCACTTACTTGTGTTTGATCTTTTAAAAAGATCTAAAGGCTTCATATATTAAAGCATATTTTCTCTGTACCCCCTAATCCATAGTAATAAATATAAAATTCATATGTATGTTGTCTAGATCCACAGCTGCAAAAAGAATTCAGTCTCTGCCTTAGCAGCCTACATATGTTATGGCTTCAATCAATCATCTCTGTCTTTTCATGGGAGATAGGAGGTTTACATTTAGATATTCATAAGGAGCCTGTCAACCAAGGCATCTATCTTATATCAATAATCTCAATTAATAATAAAATAAAGAGTGAATTGCTTGTGATTGATGAACAGTGTTATATTCCAGATACTTGAATTTGATGTACTAAAAGTAATTTGATCTTTAATATGTTATTAAGGTAGTTCCTAAAGCTGAAGTCTGTCATGAACGTTTTGTGAAATTATTCTGGTAAACATGATTTTAGGACTTAGTTTTCCTTTCTCGTCCTGCATATGTTCTGGTACTCTGTAGTGTTTGAATTGTCTTAATATAGTTAGATATTTAAAAACTATAGCAATTTTTAAGACTAAGGACTCCTATATTTTCTAATTTGTTACTGTAAACAGTTCATTTGAAAATTCTGTGTGCTAAATTACCAGTATTTAATAACTTGCTTGTTTGTTTAGGCTGCAGTGGCTAAGACAGAAGAATTGCAGAAGCTACTGGAACAATCAAGTATTGACTCTCTGGAAGAAATAAAAGCTTTGAAGTGTGAATTAGCAAATGCACAATGCAAGCACAATGAGGATTTGAAAAAGCTGAAAATGGAATTAGATGAACAAGTGAAAAAACAAATGGAGCTGATGGAACAGGTTGAACGTCATAGTGAGAGTCAAAAAGAAGTTACAAGATTACAAGATGATGTCCAGAGAATTAAATCTACTTATGAGGAGCAAATTTTGTGTCTGAGCAAACAGTTGGAAACTGTGAGTGAAGACAAAACCAAAGAAGTAACAAATCTGCAAGAAACTATTAAAAACAACTCTCAGTGTTACCATAATGAAATCAAAAATATGAATGAAGAGCTTGAAAAATTAAAAATTGCCCATCAGGAAGAGGTGTCAGAATTGATGCATCGGATTGAAATATCATCTAGAGAAAATGAAGAAAAGCAAAATCAAATAAATGAGTTGCAGCACAGTTTGGCAGAGAAAAATGCAAAGGATGAAATGCATGCTCATACCGATCAGCGTGAATACGACTTGGAGCAGCTGAGAGAAGTCTTAAATAAAAATGTAGAAAACAGGATAGATGTTGCAGATACACCAGAAGAACCTTGTGTAGAAGCGAAAATGGAAGCAAAGGTTAGGTACCTGGAGCATAGTTTAGAAGAACTCCAGTCCCAACATAGTATATTAAAAGATGAGTTAACGTACATGAGCAATGTCAAACTAAAGCTGGAAGAGGAAATCCATCGCATAAAGGAGGAGTACTTTCATGAGAGGGAAGATCTGGATTTTAAGATAAATGAATTGCAGCTTACTAAAGAAGATTACTGCAGTGTAATTGAAAAACTAAAATTGGAGCTTCAAGAAGCAAGACAGCGCTATGAATCTGCTGTAAAAGAGCATAAATTAGAGATTCAAACTCTGAAAGAGCAACACAAGACAGAAATTTCTGAATTAAATGAAACTTTATTATCTGGTTTTGAAAAAGAAAATAAGGTATTAGTTTTTGAAATACAGGAGCTTAGAGAACAGCTTGAAAAGCTAACTCAGGAGAAAGAAGAAGCAGTGTCCAATTACAACAGCCTGAGAGAAACAATGGAAACTCTCCAGGCTGAGCTGGGCGAATCTGCTGGAAAGATCAGCCAGGAGTTTGAATCAATGAAACAACAGCAAGCTTCTGATGTCAGTCAACTGCAACAGAAACTCCGAGCTGCTTTCAATGAAAGGGATGTTCTTCGTGAAACTGTAAATCGTCTCCAGGAAGAAATAGAAAAACTACCATCTAAGCAGCTAGAGGTAGAAGAACTTAAATGCAAAATTGTTAGTCTTCAGGAGGACAATAATGCAATAACAAGCTCCATCAACCAAAAAGAGATTACTGTAAAAGAACTGGAAGAGAAGGTTGTTGCTCTGACTGATCAAAACAAGGATATTTTAAATGATGTGAAATGCTTGGGTGAAGAGAGAGAAACGCTTCAAGAAAGGTGCAAGCAAGAACAAGTTAAAATTCAGGAACTTCAGCAAGAAGTAGATGTTGCTAACCAGCACAATAATGACCTGACAAAAAAGGTAGAGGAATTAACAGAGAGACTGAATGAAGCTTTAACTACAAAGACTGAAAATGCTCAAATGCTAGAGCAACTGGAAAAACAGATTGAATCTCTGGTACATGATAGAGAGCGGCTTTCATCTGAAGTGTATACTCTTCATGAGGAAAATAAGAAAATAATTCAGGAAAAAGGTGAATTAAGTGAAGAGCTGGGAAAGATTACATGTGAAAAAGATGGTTGGTTAGTGTTGAAAGAGCAGTCTGAAAACTTAGAAAAGAAACTACAAATGATGACTGCAGAAAAAGACCATATATCAACATTACTTGAAAATGAACAAAGGCATACATCCCTTGTAAGAACTCAACTGTACCATCTACTTGAACAAGTGGGGTCCAGCATTTCAGATTCTAATGAAGAATATGATTCTCTTAACTTGTTAAAAATTGCAAATGAATGCTTGTCAAAAATTAAAGAAGAGCAGTGCCTTGCTCAGCAAAATGAGGAGGAAGTAATTCATTTACGGCGGGAAGTTGAGAGACTAGAGGAAGAAAATGCTGCTCAATATAGAGAACACAGATCCCTGATTCAGGATTTTGAAAAAGAAAAGGCTCTCTTGAGAGAGGAACTGCAAGGAGTGTTGTCTGAAAAAGAAGCTCTTCAGCATGATATTCAGGAGCTGAAGAATGCCAGTGAGAAAACAAGGATTGAAAATCAAGATCTTTTAGCTAGTATTGAAGAGGTCACTCAAAAACTTGCTTTTTATGAAAGTCCAGTACAAGAACAGGAAAAAGGATCAGAGAAACAAGACGACTTAAGTTTCATTCTGGAACAAAAGGAAACTGAACTTAGAAATGTGAAAGACGAACTGAGTTCTCTAAAGGTTATATTTTGTTATTGAAGTATACAGACTAAACCTCTAAAGTCTTCAGAATTAAGGTTCAAAAAATACTTTCAATTCTCTCTTTTCTTCTTTTATTGTTTTCCCCCTTGGCCTGAAAGTGAGTTCCCCTTCTGGAAGGCCCATCTAGCACCTCAAAGTCACTTCCCTGCCCCCAGGGAAAAAAAAAAAAAAAAAAAAGAAACCAAATCATAATACTTTTTTGACAAAAGTTACTTCACTTGAACCTTTCTTCCTATAAATAGCCCTCAAAGCAATCATTTGACTAGATGGACTGACTGACCTCATCATTTTTCACCTCTTAACTTTCTATGACTCCATCTCAAACAAAACTCCTGCTTGATCTGCATTAGCTCCTCCTAACTTCCTGTCATGGGAATTGCTAGCTATGTAAAACTGACAGCTGCAGAATTAATGGTCTCCCATTTTTTGTCCTTGGACAGAATGGAAAGCAGTTGTTAAAACCTTGGAATGTTTTGCTTTCAAGTAACTATGCTTTCACCAAGCTGATAACAAAATTTCTCTTAAAAACTTTCTTGGTATTAAAAATGTAGGTAATTTTAGCTGTAGCTGAAAATTCTGGTTGCTTGTTAGGGAAAAAACAGGTATCACAAAGAAATTTTTGTAATTCTTCTTATATCTTTGTTTATAATACAGAATTTAATGGAGAGAATGACTGAGAAAACTGATCAACAGTCTTCAGTAGCAGAGCTTCAAGAAAAAATTGGTAAATTCCTCACTGTTCTCTTTTATATAAATGGTTTGGGTCCTTTGGATTGTTAGTTTTTCTTTTCATAATTGTCTTGTATTTCCTACAAGCCAAGGAAGATGAGGAAGTAGATATCAATGCATCTTCCTACTAGGAAGCTGTTCTTTCCACTAGGGATTTAAAATATTTTTAGCAGTTTTAAGTTGGGTATGATTTGATATTTCTTAAGGCTTTTTCTTCCTATGTACATCTGGCTATAAGCAATGTAGTGGATTTAATCTTTGTTTTTAAATATGGGAAGTGTGTGAATAAGAATTCCTAAGACTGCCAAGAGGAGAAGGAAGCAACACTTTGCCAAAACTACTCTTGCCTCATTGCAGTTATCCCAACACATTAGCAAGAAAGTGGTTCCAAGTTGTTAAAATTTATGTAGAAATAGACAGGAATATGACTGCTAATGTTAACTGTGATGGAAGCCTCTGAAACAGGGAAATTTTCTCCAGGGAAAGATTGTCCTTAAGCTGTCTGTATGTTTTAGCTTGAAATTAAATGTTTAACTGAATCGAACACTTGAACATCTCCCCTTGCTTTATATTTTGTTTGTTTTTAAAGTCAGGCTGATATTTGTGTTCTAATTGAATTTCATTTCTCAGGAAGAAATAAAAAGGTATATTTTCTTAGTTTTCTTCTTTATTTTTTTAGGGAGGCTGGAAAAAGAATCTGCAGAAAAAGGAGAGAAGCTAAACAAAATTAAGGTTGTTGCTGTGAAAGCAAAGAAAGAATTAGATGCCAGCCGAAAAGAGGTACCTTGACTGTTTCCTAATATGAAGAGCATTCTACATGTGGTGTTCTGTTTTAATGACACAACTTCTTTTTAAAAAGATGCAAGCTCTGAAAGAAGAATTGGAGTTGGTTCGATCAGAAAAAGATCAGTTGTCTGCTTCAATGAAAGAAGTAATTCAAGGAGCTGAAAGCTATAAGGTAAGAATAGTACTGCATTTACAAAAGACAGTTAACTGTCTGACAGTTAACTGAAGCGGATATTTATTGCTGTTTACTTGCACAACTATATTTGGCAAAAGAAATTGTGTCAGTGCAATTGGATACCAAAATCAAGAAATGTAAGGTTCTATTAAGGGAACCAACTGCTGTCAGAAGAAAATAAGGCACTTGCTTTCTACTGGAATGATGTTTCTAAACCTCTTGAATCTAGCATCATACATCAAACATCATACATTACCAATGTGTTGCTGAGGGAAAACATAAATCCTGACAAATTCTTCAAAGTACATGATACTGAAGATCAGTTTGAAAATCCTAAAGTGGTAAAGACATGAACTAATATTTCTCTGGGAGCATATCTCTGGGCACATCAGGCAGTAGCAGGTGACAGTCAGCATTGCTTCAACAAGAGAAAGCTCTTCCTTGTAAGACTTATGAGGAGGAACATAATAGGAGCTTTCCAGAAAGTACATACAAAAACATTATCAGGGACAGAGAATCAGGTTGTAAATGGTGGTGCAAGACAAGACAGTAGTCTTAAATTGAAATGAGAGATTAAAGCTGGGTACATGGATAAACATTTTTAACCTATGAGATGGTTGAGCTTTGGAAGAAGTTGCCCACGGGAGTGGCACCATCTCCATGCTTGGAAAGACCTGATTGGACTAAGCTCTGAGTTATGAGGTCTGATCTCACTGCTGACCCTACTTTAAGCAGAAGGTTGAATGTAGACCTGCTGAGGTCTCTTCCAACCTGAATTATTCTAGAATTTCATTACCTGAAAAGGGTTTCTCCCAGAGTTTGTAGTGGAATAATAGCATTAATTTCACGGCAATGTTTCTGGTGTTGCAGTAAGACAACTCATATACTGAAATATCAGGAAGATAGGTAGGCCTTTGAGATGCATGTGCTTATGCTATATGTATATATATATATAGTAAAAAAATTTGATTTTGTGTTTGTATTTGTTAAGAATCTTTTGATGGAATATGATAAGCAAGGAGAACAGCTGGATTCTGAAAAAGGCAGAGCAAATAATCTTGAACGTCAGATAGATGACCTCTCAAGACAGCTACAGGTGTCATCCCAGCAGGTCAGTTCTGTATGTGGGTCTGATATATTGATAATTACTGTAAAAATCCTGTCTATTGAGTGTAAGTTTTAATCATGTCATTGTTAGTACTGTTTTGTAGCCTAAGTCTGTTTTGAATAGTGACTTGCAATTCAGGGTGGTTTGTTTGTTCTTTTTCAACATCTGATATCTTACCTGGGCCATGACAAAGGTAAATATATCTAAGGTGTTTGGCTTTGTCAGCAGAAAGAGTTTAATCTGCTCCAGGTCAACTTACAGGAAGGAGCAGGTGTTTATCTCTGGCTTTGTTTGGACATAAAACTCTGCTGCGAGTATCAAACTTGCACTATTTGTCTGATTGCACAGCTACACTTCTCATGAAGTGCAGTAACCTTTATCTGAGAAATGTTTTTCTTCTATTTCTTCAACAAAATGTGGGTTTGGGTATTTTTTCTCTTTTTTTTTTGTTTATTTATATAATCAGCAGAGTATTTGAACATACTAAATTAATCATGGGGCTTTGCATTTTTCACAAGGATGAGACTTTAGGATGCAGAGTACCATAGTATCATTCATAAGTGTCTAAGATGGTAATTAAGCAGCTGTGAGACACATTTTTGTAAGGGTAGTTGCAATGAGTTTGGTATTTAGGATTTAAACTCCCAGGCCCCATACACTGAAGATTTAGCTAGGCCACCATTTCCTTATAAACACAAACCAGTAGTGAGAAACGTAGGAAGAAATAAGAAATTATATTCTACCTGGTTATGCAGGCATTGAATTTTTCAATTTTGTTATGAAGAAACATGTACTGATACCATCTCTTGGAAAAACTTGGTGGTTTAATAAGGTTTGCAGTTCAGTCTTTTTTAGGTGTTAGTAGTATGATCATTTGTTTGTAAATACAGCATCTGTAGGGACAATAAGTATTGAAAGAAGTGTTGTATCTTGCGAGAGGAAGGTGATTCTTGCAGAAAGAATAAATTTGGAGGTATTTTTTTCAGGTTTCTTTTAATTCTAGCCATCTTACAGAAAGCTGGGCAAATTAACTCTGAACAAAATAATCAAAATGTGCTAGTGATTTTAATTTAGCCTGGTTTTAGCCTGTTAATCTGGTTTAAAACAGTTAAGCTGGACAAGACTCATCTGTAGGACTGTATATCTTATCTGACAAAAATCACACATAAATTCAGCTTATGTTTTTATCTTTCCACGATGACAATTTCAGCATGATCAATTACGCTCTGCTAACGAAGACCTCCTGGCTCGTGTTGAAACACTGCAAAATAATGCTAAGCTGCTGGAGACTCAGATACTGGAGATGCAAAAAGCCAAGGCAAAGGCTGACAAAGAACTAGAAGCTGAAAGGCTTTTAAAAGAACAGAAAACAAAGGTAGTACTTTGTCAAGATAGTGAATGGGCTGAAGCGTTACTTTCACTGGATGTGATTTCTGTTAGACCTTGGTAAATTGTGGTTTTATAGATCAAGTTCCATGCTTTCTCTTCGTGTTACTTGACTGTCTCTTTTGAAAACCTGGTCTGATCACTGAAAGAACTTTGCAAGGCTGTCACTTGGAATAGACTGGGGGGTGTTACAGAATGTGAAAATCACTTCATAATCTTTCGAGTTTTTCTCCAGTTCCTAGTAATTTCCTGAAAAAAAGAAAGAATTACCTTTGTGCAACCTAAGCATGTGTGTCTATAAGTATAAACAGATGCTGACATCTATTTTGAAATTGGACTTGCATAACTGAGAAGTATTTAAATTTCAGGAACATAGTGGTGCTCTCCGAGAAATGGAGGAGCTTCAGATGCAACTTCAGAAGGAAAAGAAGCTTCTGCAGAAAACTATGCTAGAACTAGAGCTGGCCAGAAAGGTAAGGCTAGTGGTTTTGTTAGTGCTTAGTGGACTACCAAAGATTTTGGCCTGTCTTGCTGTGTTGAATGTCCTCCCTTTCTGTTCTGAGGATTGTAAAGCCTGAGGTGTGTAAAAGGGAAAACATGAGAGCTTCTGCCCCTGGTTTTGTACTGGAGAGCTGATGTGTACTTTTGGGTTTGGTTTTGTTGGGTTTATTTTTTATTTTTGTTTGTTTGTTTGTTTTAACTTGGGTTATGTGGCCTGTCATGGGTAGAAGTAGGAAGAGAATTTAGATGTCTAGGGTACATGTATAGTGCACTGTTCAGAAACTGCCCTTGTTTAAGGACTGAAACTGACAGAAACTAATATCTACAAAATACCTACTGATAAAACTTAAAGATAGAAACAGGTTTTTCAAAGCTTCTGGTTATTGTCTGAAAACAGATTATTTACTGAGCATATGGAAACCCGATGGATGGGTGTTGCTTGTGGATATGGATAGTGAAAAAACTTTTGTTAGATGTGCAATACAGTTTTTTATATATTTAAAAAACCTGAGCAGACAAAGCAAATTGTAAGCTCTACCTTCATCGTATGTAACTTGCAGGATGCTCAGAAGAGTACACTGATGGATATGGAAATAGCTGATTATGAAAGGCTGGTAAAAGAACTTAATCAGAAGATTACTGATAAAGACAGCAAAATAGAAGATCTTGAGCAAGAAACAAGTATTCAGAAACAGAAGCAAGAGACTCTACAGGAAGAAATAAGTGAGTAAACTATAAACAGCAAGAGTCACTATGGTATAGTTAGTAATGGTAAAAAATGCAATTCAGAAACATCTTTTCAAGTCAATGAGTGAGAGTAAGGTTTGCAGGGAATATTAAAGAGTTACACTGGAAAAGTAATTTTGACTTAAAGGAAAATTTACTAGGTTATCATCCAGTATTCAGTAGTTAAAAGCCAATTTGCCTTCCTGATATACTGTTTCTTACCTGATTAAGTTAATCATAAGTTCTGAATGTTGGTGATGGGTTTCATCCTAATATACCGCATTCATAAAACTTTACTAGTTAGCATGTGGTTAAAATTTAATTTCTTCCTATCCTTAAGTATAAGTCTTAGAACTATTTCATTTATTTGACAATCTTTGTGGTAATTTAGACAAAGGATACTAAACTTACTGTAAGCTACTTGTTTGCAACTCTTAAGGAATCTGTCAGAATTTGCTTAAATATTTTTCAGTGTTTTTAAGGAAATACAGGAGGGGATGTTTCCTTTGCATAAAACTGTTGTTTTCTGCATTAGAATTCCTTCAGTCAACTATGCAACAGGATGAGGAAAGAAATGCCAAGATAAAACAACTCCTGGTAAAAACCAAAAAAGAACTGGCTGATTCAAAACAAGCTGTAAGTCCAGATGTTAATGACTGTGTGTTCCATTTTTAAACTAACTTTAAAAAACAGGCTGGTAGCTGAATAATTAAGTTGCTGAGCTTCATGTAGATTTTAATATCCAGGTAATTTTATCTTGCAGGAAAATGATCATCTAATGTTGCAGGAATCATTAAAAGGGGAACTGGAAGCCAGTCAACAGCAAGTGGAAGCCTATAAGGCAAGAAACTTCACTTTTTTTTAGTGTAAGGTTTCTCATTTAAGTAATACATGTGTACTTTTTACGGGCAAATGGAATATAGAATGAAGAACAAAAAGGTGTTGTTTTTACTACTAAGTTATTGTTTCTTAAATTAGTTTTGTCTGTTTATTGCTTTCACCAGATATTTTCCCTGTAGCTTTCTTTAAACATATTTTCAGTCTTTTTCCTCTTTTCCTTTCTAGCAAAGGAGAGGACTGTTTGAAGCTTGCAACTGGGATATGTTTTAAAATGATTCTTTAAAATGGAACTTACTCAATTTAAAAACAAAATAACACAACATAGCAAAAATCTTAAGTGTTGTCTCTCTGTATAAATTTTGTTGGTTGGGCAGAACAGGAATTGAATGTAATGAAAGTAGCAGGGAAGTGAAAGAGGCTGGCTTTCTTAAATGCTGCCACACCACCATCATAATTTTGTCTTGAATTGTCTCTTTAAGCAACATAATTTTATTTCAAATTATTACATGGTAACCCATGTCTATTTTTTATTCTACTTTTATTGGATTTTAATTTTCTATTCATGAATTCTGTGTAGGAATTACTGTAGTAGAATCTTCTGTTCTCAGTGGCATGTCTTCTTGGAGAAGAAAACCTTTTGTTATAGTTCAGTTTTCAACTGACTTTTTCAGATTCAAGTGGCTGTTCTGACATCAGAAAAGCACAAAGTTCAGGAACAGCTGCGAACGTCTTCGGAGCAACACCAGCGTATGATGAGTGCTTGCCAGCAAAAAATTGCAACCCTGCAAGAAGAGTGCAGAGCAGCCCAGGTACTCTAGTGGGAGAAGTAATCTTAGAGACTTTAGAAGGGAGGTTTACTGCACTCGCTGTCTGCTTCTCTAAAAGTACTTTGCACACCTTACTCTTCCCTTTTTGTCTGTCAAGAATTGGGAATTATCCTAGTGCTTAAGGTAATTGGGTGGTGGTATAAAGGACAGGCCAGACTGTGTCCTGGTTGTCATGCATCACTTTTGGATCATCTGGACTGCACAATTATATTTCCAGTAGGGAAAACCTTGCAGTGGTGGTGAGGAGTTGGAGTTTATTTAAAATGATCAGCAAGTATACACTCAGGAAAAGAAGTCTTTAAAGAAAAGGGGAGAACAAAAAAAAAGGAATATAATTTGCTTCATAGAAAACCAGCAAACACAGATAGCACTTCAAGAAAAAAAAGAAAGCTGTGAAAAATATATTTGCCAGCACCCTTTAATATGCTGAAATCTGAGCAGCTTCTTAATTGGCAGCTGAACTACATGCAAAACTTACGCTATTGCTGAGGGGTTTTTATTATTTATTGGGGTTTTTGTCCATATGGCACTGTATTAAATGTTCCTAGAATGTAGCGTTTGCGTTGGAGACAGATTCAGAATATAGTAGGACTGCTATGTTCAAACTACCTTTATGGAGATTACTGTACTACTCTGTGGTCTCTGTTGTATGATAGGTATGCAACCTGCAGGTAAGTAATAGCTGAACTTTACAAAATCCTCCTTTTGGAAGGTGAGAGCATTTTAGTTATCTTGGGGATGACTACTGAACCTGAGAGCTTGTCTTAAGATCCAAGAAAGAAAATGTGCATTTGTGGCTTTTCTAGATATATACAAAAGGAAAACAGAATTATCCCCCCTTTTTTTTCCTTCACCTTTGCCTTCGTTTAAAGCTGTTGACAGAACCCTTTGCTTTTGAATCTCTCAGTTGAATGCAGTTTTTGAATTTTCAGGTATTCTTTCTTTACTTTAATACTAGTATGTTGAAAATTAGTGTCTCAAGTTTCATGTTTTGTGATACCCAAATTCTAAAGAAATATGATCTGTTATGGGAGTCTCTGTTTTAATTATCCATTTAAAAGAAGAAAGTGCAGACTAATAAGGGAGCAATACTCAATAGTATAACTTGTTAAGGGTTTGTTTTCTATGTGATAGGCTGAACAAGCATCTGTTACGTCGGAATTTGAGAGCTACAAAGTCCGTGTTCATAATGTTCTAAAACAGCAAAAGAATAAATCTGCTTCTCGGACAGAGTCTGAAGGAGCCAAACAAGAGAGGTAAAACTAAAATTTCCATATACATACAGAAAAATAGGGATAGTCAAAGTTACTGAGCTTGCTTTTGCTAATTTCTGACCAACAAGGGAATTGCACTAACTGGCTCTTTGCTTCGATACGGAAAATATAAGAAGGGTGGCAGTGTGCTTCCCCAGTTACTTTGGTTTGAATTTTTTTTGTTTGGTTGGTTGGTTTGGTTTGGGTTGTCTTTTTTTAATCTAACTGTGGTTCTGCCTAGCTGGTACAGTTCAGCTGAGTTCACTTTGAACTTTTTCAGGAATAAGTGGTTTAGTGTAGGTAAAGTTCTGCCTGCCAATTCAGTCATCAGTTCCAGCAGATTTATGAAGTACTGTTGTCGAATCAGCTACTGCATGAGGAAAGACTTGGAGGAAAAAGTTACACTTCCAAAAGGTCTCTGAAAATCCTTTTAATTATAGTAGTAAGACAGGTAAATTCAGATTCATTTTGGAAAGGGGCTCAATTAAATGTAAAAGTCGATCAATTTCTGTAAGTTACTGGTATAAGCCCTTAGTAACAGACTGGGTGTTTCTGTGTGAGATGTCAAAATTCATTTCTGACCATCTTCAAACAGTACCTACAACTGTAGCCAAAAATCCACCAGAGGGCGACTTGAGCATTGTTAGAGGACTGGTTTTACAATTGGTTTGGGGTTTTTAAAAACATTCCTGTCTTTGAAGCAAGTATACTGCAACAGTTGCATTTCTCTGTCTCTCCTTTTTGAAGAATTTTTAAAAGTTCTAAAATTTATTTTTTTTTGTGAGAGAGAGTCACCTTGGAAACAAATTGGTCAAGTAATAAACAGGTGACAAATGGTTCCAAAGAAATTATTTATAAGTATCAACTCTAAGATTAATGAGATATACAATTCATGAGACAATGGAGATGTCTGTCTATATAAATACAGAAAGCATAAAAGGAGAATGTATGTTACTTAAGACTCTTTATTCTTTGTGTATCTGGTTTTGATTTATTTCTGACCAGCTGAGTTTCTCTGTTTTTATAAATTTAATGTTGCTTCCTAGTACTTTGCTTAAAGTATGCTCCAACCATTTGTCCCCTGTATTCGGTCTCATTGAACTGATGTGCATTTCCTAAACAAACCAAAAAAAGCCTCTACCACTTCTAAGAAACTTTTTCTCCCAGCTGAATCCCACGTATTATTCTCCTTCTGTCTTGTCCCTCCAAACCAGCTAGAAGTAGAAAGTAATGCCAATCACTCTTTCTACCCCAATAGTTGCATTCCCAGCAGTTCAGATAGGATGTGGTAAACCTATTTGTGCCTATGTTGAAACAGGATCAGAACTTTGCTAATTGCTTCTTCTGTAGTCACATTCTAAGATATTTTGGTCATGGTGCTGTATTGATTTAATTAATAAATAAGCAATTTGGATCAGCTGTCCAAAATGTTGTGGATATTGTATAGATTCTGAATTATTCTGTAATTATTTTTAAATGTATGTCGTGTATTTTTTCTGCATGCAGAGAACAGTTGGAAATGGTGATAGATCAACTTAAAGTTAAGCTGCAAGACGCTCAGCACAACTCACAGATGAATGCATCTGAACTCCAGGCACTGCAGTCTGAACACGACACCCTGCTGGAAAGACACAATAAGATGCTGCAAGAGACTGTTGCAAAAGAAGCAGAACTCCGTGAAAAGTATGTTCTGCTGGTGAATAGACACAGATATTTTGTGTGAACTTTAAGAACTGTGCATGTAGTGGTGTATAACTGAACTTCTCAAAGAAAGGGCATATTATTGAGAAAGTTAAAGGAATTTTCAAAAGGATTGTTTGCTATTTTTCATGAGCCATCAGACATTTCAATAATGAAAATTAAATAGTAGCTGTTAAGGGAATTTGAGAATTCTGCAAGCTTTCTACCTCTTAACCATTAGATTTAAAATTTAACATTTCTTAAGCACACTTACTATTTTGAAATCCAATGCTCAGCGCTACATTTATGTTGTACTGCTCAACTTAATTTTAGGGATGTTTCCTATTTAAAAATAAGGTAGTTATATGCAGAGCAAACAGTCTCACTGACAAAATATCCAGTCCTGTGTTCACCAACTGCCTTTCTTGCAGAAAGTACTAAAGTACTGGATTTTAAGGCTATGCTTGCCACAGTCTTGCCACACTCTCTGTTTCATTCAAAATGAAAGGAATCTGTTTAATCTGTATCACATCACGTGACTACATCGTACTTGAGCTCCTCACAAAGGGTCTTTCCCTTGTCTGTAGAGGGTATCAGAAGTTCACAGGAAATATTCAGTAAAAATTACGGCTTGGTATTAGGAACTGTTGGCTTCTTGTCACCATCTTTGTACAGTTTTATCTGTTCCTGGTAGCCAGGTGATGGCTCACTGTAATCAACCAAATTATGTCCTGCATTTTTCTGGAACAACCGATTTTACAGTAGGTTCCCTTTATACCTGGAGAGACTGCTCTTTAACATACTGGCTCTGTTTAAGTCTTTATGCTTACAAGGGCAAGTCCTGTGCTTAGTCTTTCCATACATGCACTTGTTTAATTGCTTGTGACAATTTTGTTGTGCTTCTGGAGTACCTCCAAACAAACAAAAAAACCCAACAATTGGTGAGTTACTGACATTTTTCTTGCTAACAGTTACACTCTTCTGCCCTCTTCTGTCCTGAAAGTTGAAGCTTAAAAAAATTAAACTTAGCTTCTTAGAAACCTGTGTTTTTCGAAGTCCTGCATAAGTGTTTGGTAAATAAATGTTATAAGAAGTGGAGTAGAAGGTAAATGACATGCCCTGTATGACACTATAACCAGTCATGTTGCAATTTTAGAATTTAAGAAGGTTTAGAGCACAATGTCTCTAATCCTTACTCTTTTTTTCCCCAAGTATGTCTCAATTTTATGTTCTAAAATAGAAATCAAGGGTTTCTATAGCACAGTGCATTCAAATGATTGGTAATCAGCATAACTTTTTCAATCTTAGATTTCCCCTGTAAAAAGAGGAGTTTAAATGGAAAAAAAGTTGCATGGTCATTCTATCATCATACACATGAAAATTGAAAGCTGCTCCAAACTCTAAAGATTTTGAAATTTAAAAATTACTGTGTTTTGCTGTGTATCCTGTTTTCAGACTCTGCACAATACAGTCTGAGAACATGGTCATGAAAACAGAACATGCGCAAATGTTGAGTCAGCTGACGGCCCAGAATGAAGCTCTCCGGAACAATTTCAGAGATCAAGTCAGGAACCTGCAAGAGGAGCACAGGAAAACAGTAGAGACACTTCAGCAGCAACTCTCCAGAGTAGAAGCTCAGCTCTTCCAACTCAAGAGTGAACCAAGTACTAGAGGTAACTTCCAGGCACAGTACCAGGGTTTCTTGAGTTAGTTACAAATCTGTGCACCTGAGTCTGAATCTAAAACCTGCTTACAGTGTGTGATTCTGTAAATTACCAGAAACCTTTTCTGGAGACTCTGCAGCATGCCATATCAGTCCACAGATACCAAGTACGGAATGTGTCTTTTTTATTACTTACTGTCCCTTCAGAATCTTAGGGTCCTTGAATGCATCCATGGGAGGGCAACAAAGCTGCTGAAAAAGGTGGAAGGACTGTCCTGTGAAGAGTGGCTAAGAACTCTGGATTTGTCTAGTCTGCAGAAAAGGAGGGAGGGGCAACCTCATCACTGTCTTAGAGATTCCCGAGGAGGGGAAGCAAAGAGGGAAACGCTGAGCTCTTCTCGTTGGTACCCAGTGATAGGATGTGTGGGAATGGTTCAGAGCTGCCCCGGGGGAGATTCAGACTCGACGTTAGAAGTATCTCCTTACTGAAAAAGTGGTCAAACCCTAAAACAGCCCCAAACCTGTCTTTGTCTGAGCCATTTGGGCAATGCTCTTGATAACTTTTGGTCAGCCCTGAAGTGGTCAGGCAGTTGGACTAGATGTAGGTCCCTTCCAATCTGCATTACTGTTATCTATTCCGTGTCAGCATTGTCAGACAGATGAAGGGAAATTACTTAGGTTGTCTCAGGTTTTGGACCATACTGGACATCTGCCTCGAGTATGAGAGGTGAAGCTAAAGAAAAGTATATTGAAAGCTGTTTCAGGAATGTTTGTTGTTGCTATACTTGCCATTTGATCCCTCTTCTAATTTAACATTTTACTGTCTTCAAGCTCAAGTGTTATTTTTGTGTCTGTAAAGTTACTAACCAGGATGTAGTTGGACATTTGCAAACAGCAGTAATAGTTTAAGTTAGTCTACTACTGAAGCAGAGGGTCATGCACACAGTATTAAAACAGAAGACTTTATGCCTCCCATAGGACTGGTTGAAATAAAAGCTAATTCTGTTATGCCTTAAAAATATCTGTCACTCTGATCATAGCTACAATGCATCTTCAGGGAGAGTTGCACAAAGATTTCATAGTCACTGAAATAAAAATTTGCCAATATATTTTAGGTTTAGGAACAGGCTTTGATTGCAATGACCATTTGGAGATGAAAGGCTGTATTTTTCTACTATAAATGTTATGTGTCTGGCTTTGTCTTTTTTCTTCACCTGCATTCTGAAGGCTAGTTCGTGTGCTGCTCTCAGTCTGAGACAGTCACATCTATGAAATAGCCCTCCCAATTTCATTCTGATGACAAACATCAGGAAATATCTTTCAGGTCCAGCTGTTTCAAATCCAGGAACGAAGAACTTGAGAGAACGGAGAAACACTGACCTTCCTGTCCTCGATGTGCACACTGTAGCTAGGGAAGAGGGAGAAGGTATGGAAACAACGGACACAGAGTCTGTGTCTTCAGCCAGCACCTATGTACAATCCTTGGAACAACTTCTGAACTCATCAGAAGCAAAACCTGGTAGGTAGAACGTGGCTTTTAGAAGCACTTGCCTACGTAAGTTGCAGAAGTTTCTTCCCTCATGTTTTCATGGTTTTAGGTGCAAGACACGAGTCTGCTTGAGTGCCACTGAATTTACACTGTCCTGAATTTCTGTAGGAGTTTTGTTCTTAAATAAGGATTAAACTTTTTGCCGTAAAATAAAATATTGGTACAGGTTTTAGTAATTTAAAAATGTCGTATTTCTGAGTTTCTAAAGGGAAAAGACTGGATGAGCAAGCGAGTGAATAGTTGCAGAACTTTTTTGTATTCTGAATTAGTCTATACTAGGGACAATTAAGTGCTAATTTAACCTGATTAATCAAAGGATAAAAGTTCTGTTCATCTCAGTGAGGCTAATTAGAACAGGAATTTATTCATAGGCTTCTTTCAAGGAAAATGAAAGCTATAATGAAGAACAATCTTCTAAGAGTAGCCCCAAAACCAGAAAAATACATGGTAGCATCTAATCGTGATTTAAAACACTTTGTAGAAAACTGTTGAAAATCTCTATCTATGGGTAGGAAACAAGAGATAATTAAGACCGTATATCTTGATGTACTCTAGAACTGTTTTGCCAATCCCCTCCTAATATATAAACAAAAATAGATCAGAAAATAAGCATGCAACAGCAACACTGATGCCTGTTAATGTCTGCAGTCTGACTTTGCATGAATTCTGTTTATAAGGAACTACATTAATGAAGTCCTGATGTTAAGTTAGTATGAGGTAGATGCAAATGCTTTTTCCTTCTCTTAGTTTTCTTTCCCAATTAATTGCAGAACCATCTCAGTGGCAAGCAGAACTCACCAAGGATGAACTGATTCAGAAACTAAACACAACAGCAAAGAGTGCTGATCACTTGAATGAATTACTTCGTGAATCAGAAGCAACCAATGCAATCCTAATGGAACAAATAAAGGTTAGCAGACATGCAAGAGATGTGAGGACAGCTCTAATTTCCACAGTCTGTTTCTTAGACCAAATATTTAACACCAAATGTGTCAGAAAACCCCAGCCTATAAAATTTTGGTGATCAAAATTTAATTTTGTAGGAGCTTTTATTGCATGGGCCTAATTAGCATAACTAATAAGCACAACTGCTTCCAAAGTTGACTTCAATTTTTGGTTTTGGTTGGGTTTTTTTTTCACCACAGTTTATACTTGGGTGGGAAGGCGGGGTAAGGGGAGGGGGAAAGGAGTGTGGAGTAAAACCTTCTACAAAAAAACCTCAAGAGTTTGTAAGTTTAACATTTAGTAAAGGGGTCTCTACTGTTTTCACTTAGACAAAAGCAGTAAACCCCAAGGGAAGCATTGTCTGGTTTCTCTTCCTGTAACCTGTTTTAGCTGTCTTACTTTAAAAGAAGATATATGTACTAATGTCCGAGTTTGGTTTGGTTTGATTGCACCTCCCTGAGTTTTCTGAAGACATTTCTGAAGTTAGCATATTCCTTGAATATGCTTGGCTTTCTTTTCTGAAATGTTTCCTAATGAATGATGTCATCAGTTCTCTTGCTTTATTTAACTGTTCCACTCTTACTACTCTTTATTGCTGAAATTGTTTTAACTATTGCACAGATTTTATCAAAAAAGGTTATTTTTGATCAATAATAAGTTATTTCTGTACAATATTATCACAAATTCAATTTTCACTGGATTTTTGTTCTGAATATGTTGTATGCACACATTCTTTTTGAAGCAATATGTGCAATTCATTTATTAGGTCTTCAAAAGACCTTTGTTCAGTTGCTCATTGTATGAAGCAAACAATATTGCATATTTTTTCCCTCATCTGCAGCTTCTTAAGAATGAAATAAGAAGACTGGAGAGAAATCAAGAGAGAGAAAAGTCTGTGGCTAATTTAGAATACTTGAAGAATGTTCTATTGCAGTTCATATTTCTAAAATCAGGAAGTGAGAAAGAGCGGCTGCTCCCAGTAATAGACACCATGTTGCAGCTCAGCCCTGAAGAGAAGGGGAAGCTGGTTGCAATTGCCCAAGGTACGTGGTGTTCAAAATATTGTCAAAAAAAAAAGGAGAAGTGGATATAAAGGCAACTGAAGTTCTGTGCTTTCTGTTGTGTAGACCTTTGAGGGAAAACAAAACTTAGCAACAGTATGCTAGCGAGCTAATCATAAAACCATTTTGCTTTGTTGGGAAGTTACTATTCAGTGTTCAGGAAACAGAACAAATACCCTAAAATATAAATAAAATTAAGGTAAAATATAATTTCTTCTGAAATATGGACATTTTAGGAAGATTATAGTAAGTTCTAGAAATTTAACGTGTTCATGTTTTGAGTAGAGTTAAAAAAATTTTGTCAAAATAGAGGTTAATATAATTGAAATTCTGACTTGGCAGATGTTCCAAACAGGTAACTAAAGCAGTCCTCTCAAGGCAGTACTGTAGACCTAATATTAGTTTCTATATATTAACTTTAAAAATATCTTAAAGAAAATACGCTTTTTGTTCAAGAAATTAAGGAACTAGGGAAGGAAATAAAAAGAGTTAAGCATTTGCAAGAAATGAATGCAGGAGCTATGTGTATAATAATGTTCTGGCTCTGCTTCAAATACTCTGGGCATTTGTTCCCTTAAAACAATTTTTAAGGTATTGTTTGTCACTTCTCAAAAGCAGTAACTGTAGCTTCATGTACATCATTAACAGACCTATACTTTATTTAAAAATTAACATAAAGAATAAGCACCATGTGCATATATTACTTTAAAAACTTGCAACTTGTGAACAAAATCACATTTAAAAGAGAAGCATTAAAGTACTACATTCCATGATAGGCTGTGCATTTGGAAAAATTAGATGTTTTGAAGTTCTGGCCCCCTAATGAAGACTGATTGAATTTTTGTGGAGAATGGTTATAAATGGTTTTTTTCAAACATCCTGAAGTACCCAAAGTAAAGTGGACTTGGTGATAAAATCCATGAACCTATTGGTGGCAGCCCAAGAGTGAGTTCCATCCTCAACAGGTTTGAGGACAGCATTTGAAAATGGATAAAGGCTGGGGGGCGAAATGGGGCAAGGTCATGTAACCAAATAATGCAATGTTTAACATAAACTGAAATGTTTTTATTCCTCTTTCAGGTGAGGAAGAGAGTACCTCAAGGCCCTCTGGGTGGGCTTCGTACCTCCACAGCTGGTCAGGACTTCGATAAAACAGTGGAAACACTGAATCTTTAAACACATTCCACAACTGCAAAAAAAGAGAAATCTTACTGTAGAAAATCTGTTGGTGTTGTAGTGTTGAACTACAGGTTTTTATTTTTGTGTGTTACTTTCAGTTTTCTAGGCTCTTCTAAGAAAGAAGCCCACAGTAGCCCTGAAAGATGGTTCTACATTATGCTCTGGCAACAGTGAACCATTTTTCTTGTAAATGTTAAGGCTGATGATAAGAACTATGAGAAATGACAAATTAATTACAAATTGCCTGGAAACAGAATTTGACAAACCTGTAATGGCTCTTTTGATATCAGTTTAAAAACTTGATCTAATATATGAACTGGAATAACTAGACTTTAGATTTAAAGCATTTTAAAGGGTTTACAGTTGCTTTCACGTATTGTTGTCAGCTAACTAATCTATATGGTTAGTGTTACACTCTGCATGTTTCAGAAATTTAAAATTATTTCCTCACTGGTGATGGTTACAAAATGGAAGATAATTAAGAAACAGAAAGGGCATTTTCTGAACTAAAGTTTTAGTCTGTGTTAATTTTTTTTTTTTTTTGCAAAAGCTAGATTGAAATATCAAGGCGATGGTTCACAAAATGTAGCAAGTGCATAAATCTCTATGATATACAGTGCTTGGCTCACCTGAGCATGGTATTGCAGTAGAGATTAATGACATTTATGGAGGTCTTAGGGTATACTCCAAGACTCAGAGATCTTAAGTCAGCTGAAGCTTTTGGAAAAAGGGCTTAAGCTATGGCTTTTTAACCTGAACTTGGAAGTTTGTGGAAAAGACCGGGAAGAAATGGTCCATTACTATAGCGATGTCTGTACTTACATGAAAAGACTACCCATACTGACTTAGTCATATTGAAGACACTAAAGAAAGAATCTGAATCCATAGGTCAGATTTCTAGCATTAACTTCTAAGAGAACAGGATGGAGCTTTTATCAATAGATGCCTTTTTTGAATGGTCTGATGACTGAAGGTATTACACCCTTCTCTCACTTATCTGTGTGTCCACATTATTCACACAGATCTTTTGCACAGATGAGATAATCTCTGTTTTGGGTTACTCAACAGAATGTTATGGTTTTTTCTGAGAAAAATAAATCTTTACCATCTCTACTTCTCTTATCAACACAGCACCTTTTTTTACTTTCAGTTCTCTTCTCCCCTTTACAGTCCATACTACCTTTCACCATCTTAATTTATTTGTAAGTTATTAAAATTCATACACGTGTTTAAATTCTGTTTGCATCTCAACCAGAGTCTTTCCATACTTTTCACTCATATTTTCGTGCTCTCTGTGCTGTTTTACAGAGAATCATTTCCTGGTACACATACCAATACTAAATAGCATTCTTCCTTTCCTACCTTAGTTGAGGCTTTGAGGAAATGATGCTTGTTCCTTTAATATTGCCTTATTTGGGGCTGAGATTAATCTGGACATATGAACAGCAGAAAGTCAACGCGTTGAGAATAAACTGTTCAGTAGTCTACTTTTGGTTTAATTTTTTTTTTAATTTTTTTAATTTTTTTTAATTTTTTTTTTTTTTTTTTTTTACTTCCCCTCCAATATGTGTTTTAACTGGAATCTTTCTGGTTTGTGCTACCGGGGAAAACATCCTCTGTGGACTTTCAGATCACAGAACTGATGATAAGTGGTAGTGTTAGGGATGTCTCTAAGTATCAAACATGAGGTTACGCTTAGGCTTTCTTGTATTAGCCTTTGGAAGGATTTACCGTATCTTTAGCATTCACAATTTGCACCAAATCTCAGATGTTGAGTTCTAACTCTATTCACAGCTGGGTTTGATTAATGTCACTCAAAAGAATGCCAAAACACAGTGAGGGGAGAGATTTGAAATATGTATAAAAAGAAGTGCAAGTCGTTCTCCTGCTGTGATTTCAACAATGGAAGCACATGAGTAGAAGAGTACAGCTTTTTCTTACTTAGTTCACACTCCATTTGCAGCTGACCTGATTTAGTCTCTGCTATTGCTGAAGACCTGTGACAAGTTCCTCTTAAAATGCACATATTTCAGATCTGTAAATTATTTAACATTGTAAGCTGTGAATAAATGTATGCGAGTAACTTATATCACTGGCTGTATTAAATACTGGTTGCTTATTGACTTCTTTCAAGTGTGAGTTGCATGCTCACTGGTTTTAGTAAAACTTGAGTACTGTACTTATGAATGTAGTGAACAACTTGCATTACCTTTTTTTTGTTTTAAATGGAAGATTGAGATATTAATGTAAAAGTATTTTAATAGCTGTTACTAAACTGTGTTCTATTGCTAAGATTGACAGGACTTACCTTTGTGGTAAGCAAATACATCAGAGTTTAATAGACATTTGCAGTAAATGGCATAGAAGAATGTGAACTGGAAGCAGGATTATTTTGCATAGAAAACTTTTTATATGTCATATATTTGCATTTGTAATTTACAGCATTGTAGCTGTGATTTGCTTTCAAAAAGCAGTTTGAAGTTTTAAGTAGTACTGCTGCTTCTTGATATTCTGTGGTGCTCATTTTCTGGAAGAGCACTGTGCTAACTTTGCTTTCTGGTTCTTTTTGTTTTCTTTACAGTGCCGTGTTTGTTAGAATGTTTCCTAGAAAATGTCACCCTTGCCCAAAGAGTTTATAAGCTTAGGACCAATTTTTATCTTCTATCAGCCCGCCTTCAGCCCAAACCTAAGGAGGGCATAATAATAGTAATAATAAGGATTCTGCTGTCACTATACAGAGTATATTTATTAATTAAAAACCAAAAATGGGAGTAATTCAGAATTCTCAGACCTGCATGTGCACTGTGGCTGAATTTTTAACTTCCTAATGCTATCTTAGAAACAGGTTGTATACCTTTCATATTCCCTTTAGCCAGGAGGGAGACTCATCTGTGCAAGCAAAAGTGCTCCAGTTAAAAGAGCTTGAAGGAAGACCAGAGCTTGTCAGGCTGTTGTGTAGATGTGGCCAGTTGTAGTTGGGGTTCAGGATGGCCAGAGGGAACCCATGTTAGAAATTATACACGGGAAAATAGAGTTGCTTTTTTCTTTTGTGACCCTCCCTGCCCAAAGTACAGCTGTGAGAATACAGGGTTAGATAATTTTCTATATTTACATTTTCCCTTGGCTATCTCCCTCCATCCCTTTGCTTTGATAGCAGATGATGTATCACGAAATTGTGGAGGAATGCTTAAAAACTCTCCTTAGTTTGTACTAAGTGGCTTTGAACCACCTGTGCTTCATTTGACTTATGCCTTGGCTTCACCCAGTACACCAATACTTCCTCAACTACCTGCTACTTCTATTATTACTGGTACTATAAAAATATCTCCCTTAGGAGCCTTGTGAATAGCAGTCACCACCCATAAGCTGAGAAACCAAATATATGAAGAGGTTAAAATATATTTGTTGTAGTAATTTCAGAGCTGCTAGTCTGGATAGATAAGTGTTTTGGTTGGAAATAATGTTTTTGATGGCCTTTTCATGTGGCTGTCGCTTCAATAAAATTCATCTTTACTCAACAGAGTGCCTTTCTGTTTACCTGAATGCCTGTTCTTACCTGAGAAAATGTTATTCAGCTGCAAGGTAGAAAACAAGGGGATGATTACCAATGTATTAAAGATATTTTATGGATCTAGTATAGTATCCCCACTTTTTACTTTAGAAGATGATAACAGCAATGGAGTCATCTCGATGAATGGAAAAGAAATTGTTTTGTTATGGGGGCGGGGTTAGAATTTTTTTTTTTAAAGGCTCATTTAAATTACTTCAAATGTGTTACTAGATTGTTACCAGCAATCTGACAATATCTGACATGAAGGAGAGGAGGGATGCAGAAGCTAATAATGTCTGTGTTAAAAGGATTGCACTTAGTATGTTTATTTTAAGTACTAGCCACCTAATAAATCAACACCCCCTTCTAATAGCAGTGAACTTTGAATGACCTCTTCCCTAATTCCCTGTGATAATTTTTCTTTATCTGCATAGTTGTCCTAGTGCAAAGATTAGATTTTCTGTGGATGAAGAGGGAAGTGGTTGGTTTGTTTGCTTGATTTAAGTGAGTTTGGTGTGTTTATCTTCTTACCAACCATTTTTCTTAGTCTGTGCCTATTACACAAATACGTAATCAGGAGGGGATCATAAGCTGTGAAAAGAAAACATAATAAATGGATGTGATTCAAAAAGGAGCCTGATACAGTCAACTTCTAACAGCTTTCATGTAAATATATATGCTGTAGGGAAGGGAAATAATAATCTGCTGCTTTTTAAACTGAATTTGATTAATACTTGTCATATGGTTGTGTAAGGTTGAGAAGGTGTGTCTTAGATTCAAGAGATTTCTTACTGTTCTATGTTCCTCAGGCTCATTCTGAGGATCAAGGCAGGATTGAATAATGAAAACTGAGAATAGTAAAACAAAGAGTAGAGATTTTGTTAGTAGCATCAGTTATTGCTCCAACAATTCAGTACACCTTGGTATTAGCAAATTGTTTATTTTTTGCTGTCAATTAAATGCTTCAAGACTTCTTAAGAATCCAAGGTGAGTGTAATCAGTGTAAAAAACAGTATGCTGTTTTGGGCATGGGCACAGTCCCAGTCCTCTTGAAAGTGTTTTAAATTCATAGATAGTGGATAGCAGCTGCATACGAGTATAGGATTTAAGCAGGGTTTATTGTTTCATTGCTTGAAAATCAAAGCTTGTTCTGAGAGCAGTCAGATTGTTTCCAGAGGGGACGTAAGTATCAGGTCCTGGATCTTGTCCTTTGCACCACAGAGCATCTCAAATATAAAAACCATAGAAACCATTACAGAGCTCCAGAAAAAAGCTTTTACTTAAATACTGCTTTACTGTTGTTATTGCCCTTTGTGGAGTTACATGCTGATGCTCAGTGTCACTCTTGCCGAGGGAAAACGCCAATCCTATCAGTTTGGCTTTAGCACCCAAATATTTATACGGACTCACTAAAGCTCCTCTCACAAGTAGTTGCAGCATTTACTTAAACCTGCAGCTGCGGCAATCCAGGTGAAGCTGCCTTTGTGGGGGAACAAGTGGATGGTCCCTCCGCTCCACAGGCAGAGGGCTACAGCCTGTGGAACAGGGGAAAGAAAAGCATCGGGTGGTGATAAACACTTAACACAGACCATGTTGTTGATGTGTCGGCTCTCTGTCCCCGCCCTAACATTCCCCACCAGCCTTTCTCCTGGAAACCGGTTAAACCAGTTGTTTGCAGAGCAGTGGGGGATAGTGGATATATCAAATGTATCTTGCAGGTGGGGGATTTTCAGAAAACACGGAAAAGCTAACAATGCTTTTTATAACATTCCGGGAAGGATAGGAATTGCAGTGACAAAAAGCTTAAAAGAGAAAAATTACACGCTTCCATGAAAAATATGAGAATTATACCACGATAGCCAAAAGTCGTTAAGTTATTTCTTAAGGGACCTGTTTTGTGGTGCTGCCATCAGCTTTTTCTTTAGCCATTACTGTGTCTGTCCAATTACTGACCTTGTCACAAAGCAGAAATTTATGCTGCTAAATATGGAATTTCAATGATCAATTTTACAGGGGCTTGAGATCGATCTATAAAAGTAACGTCTCTGTTCTTGCACAGTCTCCTTCCCTCTTTCAAGAAATGGTGACACCAAATATACTATGTGTGTCTAAAATGCATGAAGCAGAAATCTGACTGCTTTTATAAAAAATAATTTGTTACTTGTGAATTTGTTAATAGCTTTGCTATGAATATTTAGCTGGACACCCCGTGTCCAAAAATTATTCACTGTTGCTTTAACTTCATATCTTCGGAGGTGTGACATGAAGAACACTGACCCCGTTTACAATTTAATTCCATTGATTGTATTAAGATAAAGAATCATGGGACTGCTCTGCTAATAGGCACTCAGAGTCAGGGCAGACTTAGACTGAATATTAGAAGAAAATTCTTAACTGTGAGGGTAGTGAGGCACAGGTTGCTGTCACTTGCAGTCACAGAATCAATTATTTTGGAGAAGACCTCAAAGATCATTGAGTCCAACTGTTAACCTGGCATTGCCAAGTCTACCTCTAAACCATGTCCCTAAGTGTCACTGCCAGCTGCAGTACAATAAATTTGGAATTTCAACAGTGATGGAAGATGTAAAATGCTCTGGAAACAAAACATCAAAAGCATATGGCTACTTAAAACTGCATTTTATGCTAGTCTAGCAGGGAGAGATGGGAGAGAAAAAAAAGATAGATTAATTTTGTGATTAATATGCTGGTCTGGAGACATGGAGTCCAAATTCCCTGCTTTGCCACATGCTTCCTTTGTGAATTTAATTTCAGTTTCTCTGTCTTTATTTCCTGATTTGGCTGCTGGGGGTAATGGCACTTCTCCACCTGATGCCAAGTAAATTAGCAGCATAAAGTTAAACTTTGTGATGGGTTTGTAAGCAGAAATAAGGAGGCACATTGCCATTTTTTTTTAACTGCATAGGAAGAAAATGGTCGTAGCCTTCATTATACTAGAATGGAAGGAGTGATCTTTTGAGTTTGTGGTGTGTGTTTGTGAATCCTATTAAACTATTTGCCTAAGTATTATGGACTGAATTTTACAAGATAATTAGAATGCCAGCATGCTGTAATACTAGGTAATGGACAACTAATAACAACTAAGAATTGTTATTTCTGTTGTACAGAAAGACACAACAAAAATTTAAATCAGACCCCAAGGTGCAAACTTGCTGCAAAGCGCACAGAGCCTGGGGAGGCAATCTGTGAAACTGAATTCCTGGCTTTTCTTCATACAGTGTTTCCAAAAGCTGCTGCTACTTAGTGTTTGGCATAAGTATATGTTTGGGGGATGCTCTCCAGCTCTCTATGAGAATGCCTTTGCTTACTTCAAGATTGTATTACTAGCAGACTGGGCTCTAGGGATTTCATCTGTAAAAGCACTGGAAAACTGCACATAGTGCAATTTACTTACTTTACTTAAATCTATTAATGTGCTCTCCAAAGGAAGTGCCGTAACGGCTGCACTTGTTGGCTGGCACTGGCCTGTTAATTATTTCCAGAATTTACTGTTTTGGAGTTGGCTGCCCTGGTAGTCATAGGCCTGCCCAGCCACCTCCCCCCCAGTTTCAGTCAGAGGTGCTGCTCCTCTAGCTGGGCTCAGCAGCCAGGAACTACTGTCTTGTCCAGCTCCCCAGGAGGACTTGCAATGGGAGAGGCCCCAAAATCCTTGCAGAAGAACTGAGGTTAATTAAAGACATTCATGAAGGTGCCTACAAGTAATGGCAGACTGCCCAAAGCTGATTAGAAAAAACAAAAGGGTTGTATTACCTTCATCTGGCACAGAATGAGTACTTACTTATTTAGATGATATAAGGAAGCTCTGTTGACAGACTCATTAAAATGAGTGGGTGGTTTGGGTTTGGTTTTATTTTGTTTTGGGTTTTTTTGGGTTGAGGGTTTTTTTTTTGGGGGCGGGAGCATTTGTTTTTTAATATATTTACAGATTGGTTGAGCTTTGTAGGTGCCTCTAGAGGTCACTTGTCCAACCTCCCTGCTCAAGCAGGGCCTCCTACAACCAGATTCCCAGGACCATGTCCAGACAGCTATGAGATATCTTCAAGGATGGAAGCTCCACAGCCTTCTCAAGTCATCTGTGCCAGTGCTCAGTCACTCGCACAGTGAAAATTTTCTCCCTGATATTCAGAGAGAATCTCCTGTGTTTCAGTTTGTGCCCATTGCCTCTGATCCTGTCACTGGGCACCACTGAAAAGAAACTTGTTCTGTCCTCTGTGTACCTACCCTCCCTTTTCAGGTATTTTTATTAATTTATAAGATCCCTCTAAGCCTTCTCTTCTCTAGGTTGAGCAGTCCCAGCTCTTTCAGTCTCCTCATAGGAGAGGTGCTCCAGTCCCTTAGTCATCTTAGTGGCCATTCGTTGGATTCTTTCCAGTGTGTCCATGTATCTCTTGTACTGGGAAGTTCAGAAGTGGACCCAGCCCTCCAGGTGTGGCTTCACCAGTGCTGAGTAAAGACGAGGGATCACGTCCCCCTCTTCTGGCATACTATCCCTTCCCTTTCCAACTGAGTACTTTATTTCCCTCTTTGTGCAGAATTGCATTCTCTGTGATGCTGAAGTTTTGCTATGTTTGATTCCTAAAGTTGGCAAGCAAAACTGAACCCTGCCAAAATAACAAATAAATAAACAAAAGTCCGCCAGACAGTCTGATATTTTTGTGTTTTTACAGTTGTAGTTATCTCTAGAACCATGCTCATGGCCCAGCCATCAAATATCTTTTCTGCATTAAAGTCCTGAAAATTTACATTCTTTTCCTGGTTCTAATGGATACCAAAGTAGATGTACTTTATGTACACGTAGTTTGAATTATTCTTTCTGATGTGTGCTTACTCATACCTGTCCATGCTGATTTTGACTGGATTAACATATTCCCTGAGTTATCGTCTTCTTGGAGCCATATAGAGACTTCCTTAATCCTGGCAGGCAAATATTTGCATTTTTCATTCCACCAC